GACAATCCCTTTTAATAATAATTACATTTTTAGTGAACAAAGGACTTGTATAAACTATGCAAACTGTAAATAAAAGAAAGTGGCCATTTAAGATTGGGGGGACAAGGAGATAGTATACTAAAAAAATGGGCAAAAGAGCACTTACAATATTTAGATCTTAAAAATGTTCTTACCTTCATCCTTATACTTTATTGTAACTTCATCATTACTCAGAAGTTTTCCTCTGAATACTCTCTGCATCATTAGCACTAATTCATCGTAAGTAATATCTTCATTATGAATGGGAATTCGGCGGATATCTTCCCCAAGCTGAGCTTTGATAATTAGCTTCCCACTTAGGTCCAACTGTCCGTTCATGGTGGACTCCAGGATGCTCTATATATACAACTGTAGGGAAAAAACTAATAAAAATAGTTTTGATGACTAAACACATTAAAAGTAGAAAGCAGTAGAATGTTAACCCTTAAGAAAGTGCCTAACAACCAGCGGTGGTGGCCCAGGCAGGAGGCCGGAGGCAGAGGCAGAGGCAGGCGGATCTCTGAGTTGGAGGCCAGCCTGGTCTACAAAGCGAGATCCAGTACAGCCAGAGCTATCACATAGAGAAACCCTGTTTGAAGGTATGGAGGGGGAGTGCCTGTCTTGTTGCTAACATATATTCTAAATGGTCTGGAAGCATTTTATTATTAATGTAATGTCTATTATTATATATAGTATCCTTTTACTCTACTTAACTGACAATACCAATACCATCTGTCTAAAAGTAAATTCCTGATCTTCTAACCCCCAAAATTGCCTCTCCTGAAGTTTTCATATCTGTTAGTGGCAACTCTTTTCTTCTAGTAACACAAGACAAAAAAGACCTTGCAGCTCCCTTAAAACAATTCAATATTTTGTCTGATTTATTTTAAAATGTCTCAAATGGTCTGCTTATTTACTTCCATCCACATTCATTGTATTTTCAACAAATCAGAAGTTTGTTCTTAAATAAAATCTAAAGGCATTATGCTTGGAACCTTCCAATGAATTCCCATAGAAACAGAAAACCTCTGCATGACCCAGCCTCTGGCCTAGTATTTAACCACATTTCCTACTTCTTTCCCTTATTCACATCTGCTACACCAATGTTTAAGATTCCCCTCCCAACTCAAGGCTTTGTGTTTACTGTCCTTTGCCTTCAAATCTTTTCACACCCCTCATGGAACCAGATTGCTAATTACATGTCATCTGTTAAGAGTTTTCCCCTAACAATCTAACTTAAAATGGCTTCTCATCACTATCTTCTTCTCACCTGCTTTATTTTTCTTCAAAACACTGAACACCATGAGACGTTATTTAATTTTTACTGTCCTCTTCCTTATACAGAAATTCCTGTTTTGTTTGCTACCTTCCTAGAGTCTAGAAGAGGTCTTGTACATAACAGTTATTCAAACAACTCTAATGTTAACCTGGGAGAGGAGGCATGTATGAACATGAAATTAGAACCTCCTATTTTTCCTAAATAAGATCTCAAGAGTACTTTTTCTAATTTCCTATTTTGGAAACTCAAAGAGAAAGGACAAATGAGTAATATTCTCATGAGCTTTCTAACAAAACTATCCATGAACAAGCTACACAACTCTATTAACCTGCCGACCCACATTACCTCCAATCAGAGTGGGTGTGTAGGATTAGACTGTATTCCTTCATTTTTTTTTTAAAGATTTATTTTTAATAGTGTGCAGGTGCTGCAGGAGGCCAGAGTGTTGGATCACCAGGAGCTGGAGCCATAGGTGGTTGTGAGTCCCCTAGTACGGGTGCTGGAAACTGAACTCAGGTCCTCTGCCAGAGTAGTGCAGGCTCCTAAGAGCCGAGCCATCCATCTCTCCAGGTGTGCACTCTTCATTGTAAAGAGAAGAAAGAGAACTACGTGTAGGGTGGGCAGGATCAGGAGCTCAAGGCCGCCTCAACTACAAACCAAGTTCAAGAGCAGTTCAGGCTACTGGTGATTCTCTCAAAAGAAAGAAAAAGGGATAAGGATATAGATCAATGGTAAAGTGCTTGCTTAGCATGCATAATTTTGAACTTTGGGCTCAATAAATACTTGGTACCACATAAAATAACTCTAAAAAGTGACAGAAGTAGTTACTTAATATTAATTTGCTATAGAATTTTCCTGTCTTGGGTTTTATTTTCCTCCTACTATCTTATTTCAGGTTATTCAGTAGGACTGTCTTATGTCTTTATAATCTTAAATTCTAAACACTAAGACCTTTAATAATTCAAATTACTACCGTAAAAATGCATATTTAGGATCAAATAATGGGTTAATATCTTTTTCTCAGGGCCAAGTAATTCCTGAACATGCTTATCTATCGACACAGAATGTTCTTACCATCAACTCTTTCATCTGATCCAAGTAAATGGCCACCGAGAGCCATTTAAGCGGTCATAGCCTCCGACTGGCCATTTTGCTTTCAATCTTGAACTTTCACTACTGGCAGCTGTTTCCTTCTCTAAAACTGACTGAATTTCTACCATTGCACTTCTCTTGCAATTATTCTGTCCTGTTCCTTTAGCGTGGAAAAGTCCTCACTCAGCAAAGAACCTAACTATTCAACTTGGGAAGTTTTTAATCAATCCTAAGTTATGTCATGATTCTTAAATATAAATTCCCCAACATTCCTCCCATAAATACTCCAGTTTTTCCATCTAACTATCCCCTAAATGAATAAACCCCTTCACATCCTGTGGGAAGACTACATTTTTACTAGCAGCTCTTTAATGAAATGGGGTAGTAAAACTAAACACAACACTACAAGGTCAAGGTAGAACAAAGTGAACTATGTTCCACAATCTGGATGCCATGCTTATCTTAATACAAAGAGCACATAGTATTTTTTTTAATCAGTCTCACAATGGACTTCTCATAAGGACTGTGATAACTTAAACCTCTATAGAACCAACTCTTCACTTGCTGGCCAAATTTGTTCTCTGCCTTTAAGAAATATTTACAGAACACCTACTATAGCCCAGGTCCTAAAGTATAGTAACTTTAACAAGATGGTAAATACCCCATGCTTTCATTGACAGCCCGACAGAAAGATCTTCAATGAATCTGCATTTACTGCCTTCTATCTATAGGCTATATAAACTAGCAATATATAAAGGACCAGTGCTTAGTTTCAGTAAAACGTTATTCTATATTCCCAGAAGCACCCAGAATAGTACCTGACATACAAAAGCTACTTAAGGAGCTTTGTTTCCTGAACAAAGGGGCCGATGAGCAAAGGCACTTGGAGAAGAAAGCTGGAACATTAAGTCAATTCCAGATCCATCTTCTTTATGTGGCCAAAGGGGGCGCCTCATATCAAGATATACTCCCAAGTAAGCCCAAGTAAGACAAAGTTCCAGCACAAATGTACTTGCTAATATACCCTGATGGGACTGGGAAGCACTGAGTTCCAATGGACCTAAAAACTACATATCATTACCATCTGCCGGGGGTGGCCCAGACTCACTTCTAGTGTTTCCTAGTGACTGTAAACTCCCTGCAGTCTTTACAAAAAGCTGCCCCTACTGTTGTAGTGATCTCAGGTAAACACACAAGCCTCACAGTTATTTCCTCATCCACACAGGTTTTCAAGTGCGGTCCTCCTTTTCTCTAACAAGGTAGAGATGAACACGAATTAGTTCCTAGAACAGCTGGTGAGATAGATCCCTAGGACATTTTTTGACCTCTATCTAGTTGCTGTCTTACCACTCCTGAAGTCCAGAAGTGACTCAACCACTACTGTGCCCTCCGCCCTCCATCCAGTACATTTTCTGATTACTGGGATAAACCGATGTGTCCAAGGACATAAAGCGTGCCTCCTATACTAGGAAGCATGATCAACAGGGAAGCCTCAGGCTCCTCTTGCTTACCCTGAGGGTAAGTCCCTCATAAAATTCAGAAGCTTCAAATACACACCCACTAAGCTTCCTTAAAAAGGACAGACAGAAAGAAAAAAAAAAAAAACTTGTTTATTCTAAAACTGCCAAGAGGCCTCAAAATCTGTCTGACATGCCTGTAAGCAAGAATGGTAACCATTTTCACCCGTAGTTATGCGAGCTCAAGCTCCCCCACGGTTGCACTCTTTTCACACGATAAAGGAAAGTAATGGCTAAATGTGTACAACCTTTGAGATCAGGTATCTACACTTCTTCCAACAGTGCCCAGAGACAAAACTTACAAAAGTTAGGAACTGTCATCAGTAAAACTGGGTAAGGCCTCTCGAGGACACCAAGCATGACAGCGTAGGACCGACTGGGGGGTTCCCTCTTGTGACCCCCATCTACGTATTCCCTTTGGGGTCCATCTGCCACCCAAACCACTCTAGGGGTTGGGCCCCAAACGCTCCAGAGCCTCCTCAAAGCCCCTCTTTCTTCTCTCCCTGGAATGCTTCAACTCTCCACCTTCCAAGCCACTCTTGAGTCAGGGTGAGGCACCCAACGCCCCGGGGCCCTCCTCAATCCCCTTTCCTCAACTCGGGTTAATTCCACCCTTTTTTTGGGGGGGAGGGGACCCCCGAGGGAACAGAACCCGGGTATCAGCCGGTCCAAACGCCCTCCAAGCCAGACCAGACCAGACCAGGCCGGGCCGGGCCGGGCCGGGCCGGGCGCCCTCCCCTCCCCCTCCCGGCCGCCCCTCCCCCGCGCAGGGCGGCTCGGCGGCCTCCCCGGGGTCCCCTCACTCCCAGCCCCTTCCCACGGTGCCCGGCCCCACCCGCCGCCGGGCGCTGGGAGGTTCCAGAAGCCCTCCAGCCCGCCCGGGTCTCCGTTCCCCCCCCCCCCCCGCCGCCGCCGCCCCGGGGTTTCCTCCGAGAGCGGCGGCACGCGGGGCTCCGGCGGCCCTACCCGCTGGCCGAGGCCGCTGTCTCCCGCCGACCCGGCCGCTTGCGAGGCCGCCGCCGCCGCCGCAGTGTTGCAGCAAGGGAGGCTCCGGCCACCGCTCGCTGGGCCGCCCTCCGCCGAAGAAGCCGAAGCCGAAGCCGAAGCCGAAGCCTCGCCGCCGAGCTGGGAGCTAGCTGCGCAGGCCCTGGCCAATCGCACACACCCAACAAGCCTAGCGAGAGCCGCGGGCCCCGTACGTGGCAGGTGGGACGAGCAGGGGCGGGAGCCAAAGAAAATGAAATCTAGAGGAAAAAAAAAAAAAAAAAAAAAAAAAATTTAAAAAAAAAAAAAAAAACCCTGTCCCGTCGCCCCGCCTCTAAAGCGAACGGGCCCGCCCAGAACGCATGCGCGGTGGAGGGAGGCGCCCCGGGGAGGGGGGGGGGGCCAAGAGCCGGCGGCGTGGGGTGAGCGGCCCCGCTTCCTCACTGGATGACCGGGTGGAGGAAGTGCGAGCCCGTCCAGGCGGGCACGCATGCGCGGGGCGGGGGCGGGGGGCGGGGGTGGGAGGGGAGGATTACCAGCACTTCCGGTTTTCCGGACAGCCCGTAGTTCCTAACTCATCGCCGCTGGGCGGGGCGCCGTCGGCTGGGCTGGTGCTGGTTCGGAGAGCCTGGTTGGACGTGGGCGGCTGTCCCACGAAACGGTGTGGTGCCTTGTTGTCGGTGTGTGGCTGTCGTAGTCAGCGAGTCAGTCACACATCTCGGAGTGAAAAAAAAAAAAAAAAACACAACCAAACGAACCCCTTTCCCGCCTTCTTTCTACGAATCCGTTCATTCATTCACTGTTGGGCGCCCACGCTGTGCCGAAAAGAGTGTTAGGGATGCTGATGAGTCAGTTCGCGAGCTGGGAGGTACCCAAACATTTAGGAAGGCCGCGGCGTTCAGGGGGCACACCTGTGGGTGAGAAGGACAAAAACATGGAAATTAAAACCAAGGATCCCAGAAGGTTTGGGGGGGGGGGAATAAAGATTTGAACATACCCTACAATCGCTTAAGTTCATTTTTCCAAGGTGTTTGCATTGGGTGGATCAGCCTCAGACTGATCCCTGAAGTTTGTAGCGTTTACTTAAAAGTGTTTTGTCACTATAAATGTTTTTTACAGTTGCGTGTAACGCTGTTTCAGCAGCTACTTTCAGGGATTGGGAAGCAGGGGCCTACTGATGGAATAAAAGGTTCCCCTGTTTTCTCTGGGAACTCAATGCTTCCCACTTAAACCGAATAGTACAGATTCAGAGAAATTTGATGTCAGGTAATAGTATTCCACTGACCTTTTTTTTTTTTAATGAAACAATGCCAGTATTAATTTTTTTTTTTAGTATTTATTTTATGTAAAAGAGTGACCTGTCTTATCTTCAAGCACACCAGAAGAGGGAATCTGATTCCATTACAGATAGTTGTGAGCCACCATGTGGTTGTTGGGAATTGAACTCAGAACCTCTGGAAGAGCAGCCAGTGCTCTTGACCCCTGAGCCATCTCTCCAGCCCTGTTCTGCTGTCTTTCTGATGGCTTGGAGTTATTAAAGCCACATTTCTATGCGTTCAGGTAAAATTCCCTCTGCCACTCTTCCTAAATTTAGATCAGACCCTAGGACAAGAGGAGTGTAGCAGAGAAACCTTGGACGTGAGAACATGCATACCCATTAATATTTTGTTTTCAAGAGAAAAGTGTAGAACATTGAAAAGAAACATACTGATATATTTAAACCTCAAGAACATTTTGCATGCACAAAGAACGTCTCAAAACGTAATTTTGGCGTGCCAAAAAGAGTTACCAGAGTAGCAAAAGATTTCAGTCTTTAGAAAGGACTGCTTACAAGATTGACCCCAGGCTAGTGTCTAAGCAATTAGAATTCAAGAATGCTTCCACTATTCTTTATTAAGAGCAATGTATTGTGTCTAAAGTGTTTGAGTGAGTGTTTTATGCTGAACACATCTGCTTGTATTCTGAGTGCCAGGAATTTCAGCACTCCAGTGGATGCCCACTGTCACCCAATAATCTCTTTTAACAACAACAGGAAAAAATAAGCACTGTGAAGTGGTATAGTCTAACACTGTTATGTCTTACATGATACTTCCAGGGTTTAGGGATTTATTGCTGAGAGAACTGAAAACTTAGATTCATGCTCTGGTTTCGTTCCTACTTCTCTCTGGAAGACTTGTTCCTTTTCTAATCTTCCTTCTTACCCTTTCTATAATGCCATATCTATGGAACTTCAAAGTGGTCCTTGACGTGGCCACAGTGCCCTATACCATCTGTGTGAAAAACATATCATGACTAGAGGTATATAATTTGAGTATATTTTTTTCCATCTAGATGAAACACAGAGGTCTCATTACCAGAGTAAACTGGAGAGAAGTGGACTGTGGATTTAATAGCTGGCCCATGGAGGACTTTGGCTCTGCCTTTAGCACTGTTGTTTGTGTGTTTTAAGGATGTTATACTCATGCATTATTTAACTGGGGGTAATCTTTTCTTAAGAATAATTTCTGCCTACCTTTACAGTCACGGATTTTAGCGGTGGTAGGAGATTCGGAGTTTGCCTTGTCTTGCTTATTCCTTTCCAGCGTCTTGCACTCTTATCTCAAATCACATAACTTGTAACTGAGTCCAAACCCTTAGTCTAGAAGAACACTTGCCTTCTCTGTTGCTGCCTAGTGAGTACTGGGGGAGTGGGATCATCTTCGTTTATTATCACCACGGTCCATAAAGTCTCCATGATTGTATCACGGTTTCATGGTAACGCGTATCAAAGTCCAACAAATTGTGAAGATTCTACTTGCACACGGAGCAAAGCTCCACTGGGGATAGTGTAGATAGGAACTGTGCCATAGGTCTCTGAGAATGTCTTGTAAGAGACAGCAGCATTGGATCATGCCACCCTGCTCTACCACACACACACACACACACACACACACACACACACACACACACACACACTCCACATCTCCATGTAAGAGCTGGTATTCAGAAACCTGATCAATGGGCTAAAAATGAATTATAACTACTTCCACTTTCTGAAATAATTAACAAATCAGAACCTTACAAGGTAATGCTAAATGTCTACATTGCTATTGTAAAATGGGTCAGCCACCTTAGACAACACCTCAGCTGTTGTTGCTTGTTTGTTTGTTTTAGTAAGGTGTTTTAAAATAAAGTTCCATATACAATTACTCTGTGACCCAACAACACCATGCAATATTTTAAGAGCAAATAAAATGTTAGCGTAAAGACTTATACAAAAATGATGTAAAAGTTTGATTCATAATAGTCAAAAATCAGATGAAATGTTTTCTTTTTACATGAAGGAACAAACACAAAATTTCTTAAGTAGATGAGAAGTTCAGTGGATTTAGTGGATAGTAAAGACATATTTGGATGGGAAAGAAAACTGATAGGTAGAGCCTCTGTGTGCCAGCTAGCTTTGCAATTGGCATAGATCTCCAGATGTTCACTGCAAGCTTACTTGGCAGTGTGGCGTTTTATGTGAGGAGGTGGGTACCAGGACTTTTAAGAGGCAAGGCCTCATGGGAGGCCCTTGGGTCCTGGGGAAGCCGTCCTCAGAAGGAATTAAAATCTTCTTCTGGAGGTCTCTGAACTCTGCAAAGACGGGGTTGTTTAAGAGCAAACCCACCTCCCAGAATTGCTAAAGACACGTTATTACCTTTGAACACATTTATCCAAGTACTGAGAATTTATCTTAAGGAAGCTATTTAAACGAAGGAAAAATTGTATCTGTATCCATTTATTCATAGCTTTTCCTACAGTGTTAAATATTGAAATCAATGTAATAGACAAGAGGGAAGCAAATTAATGATTCATGTCATATTCAGTTATTATTGTGGTGACGACTATTTAGTATGTAATGGTAAGTAAAACATAGTATGATTTCATTTACTGTTAAAGTTATGACAAGGACTGTAGGGAAAATGGAAAATTAATTTTATGAAAATATTTGTGAAGATGATTATTCAATAGCTTTAATAAAGTATACAAATTACACACCTAAGGTATACAATGTGATATATTGTATATTGACATAGACAAACAACTACAATACACATGCTAACTTATCCATCTCCTCACAGCCATGCATGTGCGAAACCAAGTGCATGAAGAGCTGGGGAAACCACTCTGTGACGTACCCTCAGCATTGTCGTGAGAGCAGTACACTACCATTAGCTGTAGTGCCCCTGCTGCTGTACAGTGGAGTTCTAGAACTCTCCAGTCTGTAGCTGGAAGTTTGCAGCAAACAACCCACCTTCCCCTCTACCACCCAACCCCTGGGTGCAGTATTCTCTTCTCACCCTGGGTGTGACTGTGTTTTAGAATCCACAGAGACCTGAAATTATATACAGTATCTCTGCAACTGGGTTCTTTGGAGTAATCCACGCTGCTGCAAACAGCAATGCCTCTTCCTTTCTTCTGAAGGCTGAGTAATATCACACTGTACAAACAATATGTAAAATTTCAATTTATGATGTCATTCAACTTAAAGTTTCTGTACAAAAGCAATATGAATCTAGTAAAAATGATACTTCAGATTTGAAATTTGATCTTTTCCTGGATAAGTGATTCATGGTATGAAAATTTCAAAATGTTGGGCTTCAGCTTACAAGCCACAGCCACACAGTCATGACAGTGAAAAAATGTACTGTCCAGCATATCCTATAATAGTCAATAAACTACACCTTATTATAAAACCAGCCCTGTGCTAGGTGATTTTGTCCAAATGTCAGTGAATGTAAGTAGTCTGGACATGTTCCTGTAGGCTAAGCTATAGTACTTGCTACATTAGGCATATTAAATTCACTAATAAAGTGTTTTTAATTTACAATGAATTTAACTGGATACAAACTCATTAGGCAAAGCAATCCATATATGCTATAACAAATTTATCCAAACATCAAAAAAAACAATAATTAGATGGTTTTATTAGCTTTACTGTTGTGAAGAACACTACTTCAACACGAAAGTAGAGATATCTATACAGGTTCTGATTTCATTTCCTTAGGCTATATGCCGGGGGAGGGGTGTGATAGATCTTATGGTATTTATATTTTTAGTTTTTGAGGGATATTCTTGCCATTTTCAATAATGGCTGAACTAATTTACGTTCCCACCAACAGTGTGTATAGATTCTCTCCACATCCTCACCAACATTAGTTATCTCTCAGAACCCTTTGTAGAAAGGTGGCTTTAACAGGTGTGCAGTCATATTCCACTGTGGTTTGATTTCCATTTCACATGTTAGCTCTTACGACATCTTTGGGAAAGGTCTACTTAGGTCCTTTGCTCATTTGTTAATCAGTTTGTTTGGGGTGTTTGGGGCAAGTGTTTGATTTTATATGTGTTCGTGAAAGCCTTTTTAAATGGACATTGTTGCATTGGGTGGTTGTAACCCAGCTGCCTGCGACTCCTTCATCATGTCAGAACTCGTCTCTGGGGAAAGAAATGGGAAGATATCTGATCACCACATCAGTGAGGTTCCACAGACATTCCCAGGAGTTGATAAGCTGATGTATCAGCTGCTACTTTTGTTACCAACTTCTCAAATGTTTACAAAGTATGCCCAGTTCTTCTAAATGAAACAATGAGCTTGAGAAGGATTACCCTTTGTTACTGACAAGACAGGAAAAAACGAGCAGGATAAACTTAAAGGTGGAAGAGATAAGAGAAAAAGCAAGCCAGAGTGGCAATTGAACAGTGAACTTTCAACTGTCAGTTAAGATGCAGGCAAGAAAACCCAAAGGTCAATGATTGGTTTCCTTTGACACTGCAAAAAAGAGCACCCAGGAACTGTTATCACACAAGGTAACCAGAAACCATGGAAAGTAGAAACTGCTTGTACACAACAGCAACAGCATGAAAACCAGTTCCGAGTCTTCCTTACTACAAATTTTATTTCCTGCTCTCCCTATGGATGGTCCCATTCAAACCCAGTTCAGACAAGGAAAGTGACTGATCAGACTTAGACTGGCTTATTTGCCAACAGATGTTCACGTCCTGTCAGATGTAGTGGACCTTTAAATAGTGCCATCAGCATCCCTTTTGAGATGTAGTTGTCCATTACTCACGGTGCTTAATAAACATCTGTCAATCCAAGTCATCCCTAGTTTCCTTCACAGTGAGTACTACACCAGCATTCTCTAACACAACGCACATGTCCTGGGTAGGACACACCAGCTCTGGACCTGTCGGTCCTAGATTCTCCCTGCCCACTGTACTCTGGTGCAGAGGGCTTCCTGTGCTCCGTAGACCCCTGTCTCTGCTGGCTTTTTGCTGACTGCATCCAATATGAGACGTGCTGGGAAGCCCTGGGGTAGGATGGGGTGGCAGCCAAGGTTCCTCTCTGCCCTTTCTCCAGTGAAAGCTGGTTGATTCTTTGTCTCCAGCTCACACTACAGGAAAGAAGTGTTTTTCAGCTCCAGCTCATATCTTCACATCTCTGACTTAAGAAAAGAATCGTCTCCTCCCTTTGCTTCTCTGTGGCCGTCTGCAGCAGGTCTCAATTTGTGTTTTTTGTTTGTTTGTTTGTTTGTTTTGTTTTTTTTTCGAGACAGGGTTTCTCTGTGTAGTTTTGGTGCCTGTCTTGGATCTCGCTCTGTAGACCAGGCTGGCCTTGAACTCACAGAGATCTGCCTGGCTCTGCCTCCTGAGTGCTGGGATTAAAGGCATGTGCCACCACCACCTGGTGTTCATCTGTGCTTTTTAAGGAGGTAAAATAAATGATCTGTCTTAGAGGTCCTCTGTTTCCAGCAGTGCTGCTTCCCGCTGGAACAGGAAGTAAAAGCCCAATAGGATTTATCTTGTGCTTTGCCAAGAGGAATGAAATCCCCCTTCTTATTAGACCTTAAGGATGTAGGGTTAGGAGTGCCAGTTAATAGCTATATTTGAGAACAATGATAAACACACAGAGACAGGAAGCAGGGAAGAATCCTGATATATTATTACTATCCTTTGTTCTAACTAGACCTGGAGTTAATGTTACCATGCATTATTTCATGTCTCAAGCCAGGACACTTGAAAGTTTAAAATAGTTGTTTTTAATAGATAAGGCGGGACCATAAACAAATGGAGCATAGAAAATTATCTGAAGCCAACTTGGCCCTTGGACTTTACATTTATTAAGCCAGGAAATTCCCTTTAACCTTTAATCTAAATTTGGGTTGTATTTGTATCACCAGACCTTAAGACTGCTGACTACCACCCCAGGTAAAGGTTCAAACCAGAGGAATGGTTTCCTGATGGTAGGACTTCAGAGTTTCATGTGAATGAGTCTCCACCATTGCGTGTGGACCTTGCACACTTAAAGGAACATTGTATGGAATCTTACTTGGTATACTCCAAAGATACTGAAAAAAAAAAACAACAACAACAACAAAGAAACAAGTATAGCCACCAAGAAAAAGAGAAATCCCATCCTCTGGCTGAATATAGCTTTTGGTGACTTTTTTTTTCACATATACAGGACTTTACTTAAGAGATACTTTCATCTGATCAATTTTTTTTAAAGATTTATTTATTTATTATGTATACAGTATTCTGCCTGCAGGCCAGAAGAGGACACCAGATCTAATTCTAGATGGTTGCGAGCCACCATGTGGTTGCTGGGAATTGAACTCGGGACCTCTGGAAGAAGAGCAGCCAGTGCTCTTAACCTCTGAGCCATCTCTCCAGGGCGCCCCCCCCCCCCCCCGAATCTGATCCAATTTGAGTCAATCACATCTTACTCTGATCCAATTTGAGTCAATCACATCTTACGTTTTTCTCTGTGTCCAGCCCATATCTAGGTGTAGCAGTCCAATCCCACAGAGAGTCCTGGCCCTTTAGAATTGCTCTTCTTCTGTACTTTCTTCTCTTCGCTTTGTCTGCTCTCCCACAAGGTCTCATTTATACTACAGATCAAAGAAGCTTGTCTTGGTTTGCCCAGGAATCCGATTGTCATTTGCAACCATTTCTGTAAGAATGCACATTCTTTGAGGAATGGTGAGAAGGATTTGCATTTAAGAGCACTGGCTGCTCTTGCAGAGGAACCCAGGTTCAAATCCCAGCACCCGTGTGTCTGCTCACAACTATCTATAACTCCAGTCCCAGGGGATCTGACCCCTCTTCTGGCTTCCACAGGCCCTTGCATGTACGTGGTGAATAGACATGCATGCAGGCTAAAAAGCAGATACACATTAAATGAGTTAAATAAAATTAAAGAAAGAATGCAGTCTTTGGGGAATGGTGAGGAGGCTATGCCAAGTTCACATGGAATTTGTTACTTCCTTAGTTCCTACCTTCGTACCAGCTGCCTGGTTTATGGCAAAACAAAAGCAACAATTCAAAGACAGTATCTCCTCAGTCCAGTGGGGTGTTCCCCACTCCAGTGGAAGCCGTTCACAATTCAGCGGTTTGAAGTTCTAGGAATACCTAGAGCTTCTAAAAGCCATACATATGATTGTGACTGCATTTTTTTTCGTTTTCTGAGTCCAAGTGTCACTACATCAATAATTGTGTGTGTGTGTTGCGTGTGTGTGCAGTAAATAACTAGAGGCTTACCAGTCTACTAAGTCATATCTCTATCCATTTCTTACAGAACTGATTATTTGGTCACAAAACATATTTTTTAATACAACAACAAGAACAACAAAAATCTTTTCCTAGAGGTGAAACTGGTTGACAAATTCTTCATCGGCAAAAGCATAATGTGTGCAAGCCACTCCCTGTACTTATCAGGAGTCATTTTGTTCTAGAAGGTAATTTTTCCTCATGTCTTTTTTAAATGAGCTGTAAAAGGATTTGTCTAAGTTCTACATGATTGTCAAAGTGTGTCATGCAAACTTAATGACATAACAATGGTCATCTTGAATACTGTACTGGATTCTTGACTTGATTCACATAATAGTCTAGTGAAAACCACAAAAAACTACCAAGTCCATTATTCCTGTGATAATAAACAGCAAGTTTTAACATGTCTTTAGGTAGACATTCTAGGAGAACTAGAGAATAACATGAACAGATACAATTCTTAGGAGTTGGATAGAAAAGACCGTCAGAGGTAACAGTCTTATTAGGCCCTTGACTTTGCTTGGTCACTTTCAAGACAATGATGTTTCCTCAGTCACTTCAGATGGCTCTAGTAGCCTAAACCGTTCATGTAGGGTCGGTATGGACCTGAGCATATTGTACATCCTCAAACGCAGTCCCCATGGGGTTACTGAAGGCATTGATGGCTTCTTCACTCTCTCAAAGGATGACGACAATGACTTCAACACTTTAGAAGCTTCATTCTGAAATACCTTTGTTCGAACAGTGTAGAGGATGAATATTTGCAATCCCTGAAGAGAGAATTAAAGTTTAATATCAGGCAATATTACAGTACAGAATTCTGTAGTACAAAATGGAGAGCTTTCATTTCACTCTCCCATCATGAGGAGGTATAGCTGCTCCACAACTGGAGTTTGCAGCTGCTTCATGTGCATGTCCTTCTCACAGATGCAGTGCTGCATGTAATGCATACTTAGATAACCAGAGTTCATGCCCTGATTTGAGAATACTGCTGTGCACATCTGCTCTTTCCCTAATCTCTACGATCTTCAGTTTCTGAAAGTGGAAGGATTGCTGGGGGATACCTATTCGTTCTTCTAGTTCCAACATTCTGTGATTCCATTTCCTGGAGATTTAGTAACAGCTGGAATTTCACATACTTGGTAATCTCTTAACAACACAAAATTAAAATCCTGCTAGGCATTGCTTTTCTGTATGTTACATAGGGAGATGAGACACTCATAAGAAATTAGACCCCACAAGGCTGGGTAGCATTTTCTCCATGTCTTTAAAGTGCCATTTACTGAACTGGCTTCAGACACTTCTTGTTTACTCCTCATTATTTGATCCTTCTCATTCAATTCTCATATCAACACTATAAGTTAAGCCCTACGAACATGAAAACTGAAATTCAGATGAATTAATTTGCCCAAGATTATCCATCATCAGTAGAGCTTGGAAATGAATTACTAAATTTTTTATTTCAATCTTCTTTTCTTATCCAACATATGGTGTTGTCTCTTACTTGTAACTGTAACAGAAATGTACGACCCAGTATATTATATCCTCTAAGGAGCCTTTCTAGTACTATTTGTAGCCTAGCTAATAACATTGCATCAATGCCCATTCCTTGATTTTGACAATGTATTATATTATAGATAAAATTGTCTGCTGGGTGGTGGTGGCACACACTATTAATCCCAGCATTCAGGAGGTAGAGCCAGGCAGATCTCTGTGAGTTCAAGGCCAGTCTGGTCTACAGAGTAAGATCCAGGACAGGCACCAAAACTACACACCCTGTCTTGACAAACCAAAAAAAATTGTCACTGGGGAACACTGGACAAAGACTGTATGAAAATGTACTGTTTCCTGGGTTTAATTGTGCATTATTGTCATTGAAGATATTATTTTTGGACTAGAAAGATGGTTCAGCAGTTAACAGCATTTACTGCGTTTCCAGAGGACCAGGGTTTGATTCCCAACACCCACACATGGCTCACAACTATCTATAATTGCAGTTCCAGGGGATTCAACACCCTCTTCTGGCCTCCATAGACACCAGGCACGTACTTGGTACACAGACATATATACAGGCAAAACACTCATAAAATAATTTTTAAAAAAATCCAAGCCAGTCGATGGTAGCACATGCCTTTAATCCCAGCACTTGGGAGGCAGAGGCAGTCGGATCTCAGTGAGTTCAAGGCTAACCTTGTCTCCAAAGCAAGTTCTAGGACAGCCAGAACTGTTATACAGAAAACCCCTGTCTTGAAAAACAAAACAAAACAAAACAAAAAAATCCTAAAGATGTTATTATTAGTACTAAAAATTGGTGATGGGTACTTGGGAACTTTGCAGTATTTTGGAACTTCAAATAGTCTAAAATACATTCAAAATTATTGTTTAAAGGGGATAGAATAACAATGATGAAAGTTAATTTTGCATCACTTCAGACTCTTTTCTATAAGCATGAGATTTTAGTAACTATGAAATTCCAAGTGGGGGAAAAGATTGTCAATAACTAGATGTCAAACAAATTTGTAGTTCATGTACCAGATCTAAAGACAAATTATCAGCTAGGAACTCTTCAATAATGCTTATTCACAATCTACTAAAATGATTAATCAAAAAATACTATCACTGATGGCCATTCATTAAAACAAAGAAGTCAATAGGATAATCTAATAAGATACCTTGGAAACTTTTAAAATGGAGATATATATATATATATATATATATATATATATATATATATATATAATAAAATTCAGTTAACACAAATATTAAATATAATTTAAGTAATTAATATTTGTTAAGAGAAAATATTGTTGACAATGTTAATTACAGAGAGTAAATTTTAAATTGTACCAATAAAATTATGAGGCAATAAACAATTACACTATGTTAATAGTATTATTTTCCTTAGGTAAGATTAGCAGTAACTGTGCTTGCCTAGCAAGTGAGAGGCCCTGGGTAAGAGTCCCAGCATTGCAAAACAAATTCGTTCTCACATACATTACTTTTAAAGGGATGCAGGGACCAGCACATAACTGTTTTGTTCTGAAGACTGAAAGTTGAATCTTCTAGTAATCATTAATAAACAAGGGTTGTATTAATAGACTTTAGAAATATAATAAAATGTTCAAAATAAAGTTATATGTAAAAGGTGATAATATATTAGGCACAATATATATAGTTTAGGAGACTATGGTAGCTGCATGTAACAACAGATGATAGCGTAAAAGGATTGCACTCAGGTCCTTCAGTTTGGCCACACACCTTTTACTTGCTGAACTATCTTGCCAGCCTCTTTGTTTCTATGACAAGGTCTCATTATGTAGCCCAGGTTATCCTCAGCCTCCCAAGTGTTAAGACTATGGATACACATTACTACAGCTAGCTAGTTTTCTTAACTAATTTTAACTAAATAGTTAAAAAGTTGTTTTTAACAAAATGAAAAACCAGGAGAAAATTATCCAAACAATCAAAATATGTGGGTGCAAAAATGTTAAGAAATCGTGATCAGAAAGCTTAAAAACAAAACAAGGGTTGGGGAGAAGGTCCAGTGGGTATGAGTGCTTGCTATTCAAGTATAAGGACCTGAGTTTGGGTCCCAGCACCAACTAAAATCTAGGCATGGTCATGCATGTGCCAATAACCCCAGATGGGAGGGAGAGAAAAAGAGTAATCCTGGGATGTGCTCGTCACCAGCCTAGCTCCAAGTTCAGTGAGAGTTCCTGTCTCAAAGGGAATAAGGTAGAGCATGATAGAGCGGGCCACACAAGGTCCTCTTCTGGCCTCTGCACACATATGCACACATATGTGCATGCGCACATCACACATGTGCACACAAACTAAGGGGGGAAATTGCATTAATAGATTAGGTAGATGTGACAAAACCTAAAAAAAAAAAAGAGAGTTTTAGTTTTAGTCCAAGTTAATTATTTGGTGAGCCTGTTCTTGATCAGAATATAACAAAATATAGATTTGCTCTACTACACTGTTTATAATATGCAAGAAGCAATCAAAATTATCATAAAGAAACAGTAAAATATGACCCGTCCTAAGGAAAACAGCAATGGATAGAGAGTAGCTGAAATGACCAACTCAGGCGTTAGACTTAACAGATGATCTTTGGCTGTGTCAGAAATGTGGTTACAATAAGGAAAAAGTACATGTGAACAGAATTTAAGAATGTAAACCAGATCAAAGCCTTTAAACTGATAAGTATAACACCTACAACAAAAAGCTTCACAACAGAGTAGAGACAACCACAAAAAAGAAAAATGAGTGAGTTTGAAAATAAGTACCTAGGGTCTGCTAACGTAAAGACTAGCAAGAAGAAAGAGGAAAATGAACAGCTTTCTGTGATGTGTGGGACAGTATCCAATGACCTAACATCAATGCAACTGGATTAGCAGGAGGAGGAGAAAGAAGCAAGGCAGGAAAAAATAGTGGTGAAAACCATAAAAGATTCTAACAGTTCAACAATCCCAAGAAAAGTACATGCAAAGAAAGTTAAGAGCCATGTACACCACAGTCAAAATATCGGACATTAGCCGGGCGGTGGTGGCGCACGCCTTTAATCCCAGCACTCGGGAGGCAGAGCCAGGCGGATCTCTGTGAGTTCGAGGCCAGCCTGGGCTACCAAGTGAGTCCCAGGAAAGGCGCAAAGCTGCACAGAGAAACCCTGTCTCGAAAAACCAAAAAAAAAAAAAAAAAAAAAAAAAAAATATCGGACATTAAAGCTGAGAGAGAACTTTGACGCAAGCAGAGAAGAATAACCCGCTTGTGTGTGGTGGAACGGCACGGATGGCTGAGGACATTTCATTAGGAAATGTATCAGTGTGTGAAACTGCTTCTCTAAAAAGCTAAAAGGTAAAAAGAAAAAAGAAAAAAAGAGCCTCTGTCAACCTAGTTTCATATGCACTTAAAAATAATCCTTCAACAACAAGGGCAAAATAGATGTTTTTACAGTTCAAAGAAAATATTTGGTCACCAAAAGCCATAAATTACAAGAAATATTAAGGGATACCATTACGCTGAAGATAAATGATACCATATGACATAGATCTTCAGAAAGGAAAGAAAGGCCCTAGAAGTGGTTGACACATAACCAAATATAAAGTTTTCCTCTTAATTACTTAAAATGTGTATATCTACTTAATGGAAAAATAGTATTTCTCTGTGGGGTTTATTATGTATATGCATGTAGGACATAAGAAAATGCAACACATGGGAAGAGAGGTGGCAGGCTGGCGTCTATTGTTATGAGGCCCTTAGATTTCACGGGGTGTTGTAAAATATTAATTTTAAGTTTCTTATGAATGTTATGAATGTATACTGCATCCATGAACTTATCCCTGAATGCAAAATGGTATTGATTACTGAAATGTGAATTAAAATGGAGTCATAAAGATAACTATTATATTCAAAAGTGAGGAGGAAAAGGGGGTTAGAGGGATAAAAACAAATGACCACAGAAGACAAACCATAAAATGGCAACCTACATCAATGAGTACTTTAGATCCAAATAAGCTACAGTCTCTGATAAAGTGATGGAGACTGTCACAACAGACAAAAAGGTAAGGCCTGTGTATTTGATGCCTACATAATATAGACTTAAAATTTAAAGGCACACACATGTAATCATATAACCAATTTATGTAACAAGACTAGGTAATAGATAAGGTATATCTTATGGAAAAAGATACTATCAGAAATAAAAGGACATCTTAATGTAAATGATGAAAGGGCTAATTCATCTAGAAAATATAATAATCGTGAATATATATCATGAGGATGAATGTTTGTTCAGTCTTTCCTCAAAAGGTATGAAACAAAAACTGACAGAATGGAAAACAAGGGAACGCATAAACTCAAAGTCCTTGGTGGAGATTTCTAGCACTCTTCACTAAGCAGTTAAAAGAGCCAGATGAAATACTGGTAAGGATAGAAAAGCCCCCATCGAGCCTGTAATCATTAACTTTAATGGTATTTTAAAACTTCACACCCAGCAACTACAGAATGAGCAGGGTTTTTGCCAGGGTGAATACTTTGCTTCTGGGCCTGTGAAATGACTCAGAGGACAAAGTGCCTACCACCAACGTTGAGGATCTAAGGTGGTTGGGGACCCACGTGGTGGAAGGAGAGAACTGACTTTCGCAAGCTGTCCTCTGACCTCCACACACATATATTCGATGGTATGCGTGCCCCCATACTACTACTAATAAATGTAATTTAAAATTTACAGAAAAGATAGCTCAAATTCTGGGCCTACATCTAATCTTAACGCATTTTTTTAATTGAAAGAAAAATTCAGTAAACCTGTCACGGAGTTCCAAGTTCAAGGAATCAGGACCATTGCACATACTAACCAAAGTCAACTTGCATGGGAGAAAGGCAAGGACATGCCCTGCCCTATGAGGTATTTTTCACTCAGAGAAGAGGAATTGTATGCCAACACTATGGAGATCTTACTCTGTGACCTCCAGGCCAGAACAGAACACAGAAAGCTTTTGTTCTTCTCATGAAGTCTACAAATAAAGGTAACTAAACAGTGGTCTTCAGGGAGTTTTACAGGAAGGAAACATGGGTCCAGGATGATACTATGTACCATGCCATGTGTTCTGCTACTTTCAGACCATCTATACCATACCTGAGTGGTGTTGAAAAGACAGAAAATGTAGCTGAAAACAATCCTGATGTCATCATTATTAATTAGCATAGCATATGCAAGAATCCAGGTAACTCCAAAAACAACGGCAATAGATAATGTGCTAAAAATCTTCTTTAGGGATGAAACTTTTTTTGTGCTACATGAGAGAAAATAAGAAAGAAAATATGGCTTATTAGGATTCTGCTTACTAATGTCATCTCTACCCATGTTTAGCTTGCCTGTTTAGCTGTGTGTGTGTGTGTGTGTGTGTGTGTGTGTGTGTGTGTTTGTGTATACACACACTTTGCACTTTACAAGGCTCAGGCAAATCAGTCATTTAATACTACATAGGAAATTTCATGAAGAATCAACTTTTTAAGAATGGGATAATGGGATTCTGGTTGATTATTACTTAAAGATGAGCTAGTGAAGAATTCCTTTCTGTAGGGAGGTTGGGATACCTGGGAACTTCTTGTACCTTGGGTGACATGAAAATGAGGTATTTAGAAGCAGACTGGTCTCCCCTCTCATGGGAAGTCTGTACCCCCAGAATCTGGTCTTGATTATGTGACTTATTATGGCCAGGAGAGCAAGTCAGAGACTGGAAAGCAATCACTCGTGGAGTTTGCCTTCCTTTGCTGCTCTTGAGATCCCTACAGTGTTAGTGACTGAGCAAGGCAGGCCTCTTCAGGACCAGACTCCCATGTTAGCATGCTCAAAACCACCCTTTCCTTCATTTTCAGTAAAAACTTTGTAGTGCAAAATGAGTATATAGAGATGTATTTCTGTCCATTCTTTTCATCTTTTACATATGTGCTCTGAGACATTGGTCTAACACATGCCCAAAACATGTGTCTGCTATCTTTGTAAATTATGACCCTAAATTGGGCTTCCTTATGCATTGGCACCCCCATGTAAATACATATAGCCCCCCCCCAAATAAAATCCCCATGTTTCATTTGTTCAGTGAAATTGAAACTTTATTTTCTTGCTCTCCTTGCTAGTCATACATTTTTTCCTCAACTTCTTTATGTTTTATTAATTCTCATTTTTGGCTCTGCACTCACCAAAATGTGAATCTGTTGTATTAATTTATAATATCACTATATTAAGAAGCGTGAGCTGGGATAATAGAGGATTCAGAAAACCTGCACAGAGCACGAATAATCTTCCCCAACTGAAAAACTGCCACCCGAGGCCAACTAACAATCAACTGCCAGCAGCTACATACACAAGGGAATCATCCTAGCTCACCTGTCAGCGTTTGAACCTGTCCGGCTTAAACAACTACCAGGTGCACGCAATCGCATGACAAATAATGATTTGTCATTCTAAGTCATTAAATGTTGAAGAGACTTGGTTTGTATCTAGCTAATACATGAAAAAGGGTTAGCTAAGACAAATCATATACCCTTCTCATTGTTATTAGGCCAATTGAAAACCATGGACTGTCAGTCAAATTTGAGAAATACAAATTTGATTGATGTCTCTGACCCAAAATTATGATGTTCTGTATACAGGAAATATAATCTAATGTACAGTTAGGCTAAGAACCCTTCACCAAAGTCTTCCCCAACAACGTTACTAAAATGCATGTTTTAATGCTTAGCAAGAATGGTATTTTCTCCATATAGCCTTTAAATAAGAGCTATTAACCATGTATGAAAAATGACACCTTGATTTGTAAAGAACATATTGAAGATTATATTCTCATAAAAGATGGTGTTTTCCATTTATCTATCCTCACTTGTGGACTTAGTGTAAGTTCACAGATGTCCTCATAGTAAGGACACTTGGAATGGATAGAACTGCTGGATTCAGCCTGAGTTCACAGCTTCATCTGTACTATGTTCTGCTTAGTTCATGTTGTGAACTTGGGATAGGAGGTTGCAGCATGTATGTGTCCAGTGGTTTCTGATCCTTATCCAATCTAAAGCTCTTGTTGAATAACAAGAGATATTAGACATAGCAATAAGAACCCTGACTGGAGCTAGAAAAGTCACAGTACGGAGACTTGCAGTTGGGTGGGACCTGGTAAGCTACAGAATGTGGTCTCAGTGCCACTACATGTTCCTCGTTTTATGAGAGAGAATACATCTGTAAGTGAAATCTCCAAGTTTTATATACTTGCAATGAAGTTTGAAAGGTTGGAAGCAATGTGTAATTCAAGCACTGAAGGTGGTAATTTTCAAATTGAAAACGTGGATGCCAGCATCTCCCTCCGTACAGCCTTCTCATTTCTTCAAGTGGTCACATTTCTGTTTCCTGAATTTGGGGGATTTTTGAAGAGAAAATATTTTTCTTGACAGTGCACGGTTTAATTTTCTCTTGGGCCCATGTGACCCAGAAGTGTGGTATATAATGCTGTATACCACACTGGACTGCTTGGGCCCACGTGACCCAGAAGTGTGGTATATAATGCTGCGTACCACACTGGACTGCTGAGGTTAGCAGAGTGAGCAGATTCAGTTTCTCAAAATTCATTGGGAAATCTCTCCTGAGTACACATACATGTCCATGCTGTGTTCGGGCTTTGAAAACCTTTGCAGGACTTTGGGGTGTAGTGAGGTGCTGTGTTACATCTACATTAGTCTGTGTGGGCAGCTTCCCACCCCGGGAGGCTCACCTCGTCAGGTTCTGGTTGTTTTTCCACAGCACTTTGACCGTGATTGTGATGAATATAGCAATATTAGTGATGAGGATAATGGTGACAGGGACGATGAACGACCACAAAAATGGACTTTTCACAAAGTTATCACTCTTTGGAATGGCCAGCCAGCAGCTGTGGAGGAAAACAGATTATCTCAGGAGACCAAGAAAAGAACCAATACCAAAACATTATTGGCATTCACGGAACTGAAGTCCTTGCTAATAATATCCTCTGACATCTTACACATCTGAGGTCACTTTCAATAATTCAGCCCACTAGAAAGGTTGTTTCTGTCACGATTTCCTATGAGTCAATAGGGGCCAGTAGAAGGTAAATGCACTTTTGAGTCAGACAGACCTGAACTATTTGCTAGTGTTATTGTTGCTGCTTTCACTGTGGAGAGAGGAATCCCAGGTCTTAGGGCATGCAATAGGTCAACTACTGAGCTGTGATTTGCGTCAGAAATGTGCCTCCAGAAGCTCATGTATTGACCACTTGGTTCCCAGTTGGCAGCACTGTTTAGGAAGGTTGTGGAACCTTCAGGAGGCAGAGCTTTGCAGGAGGAAGTGCGTCATTGGAAGTGGGCTTTAAGGTTTTATAGCCTAGCTTCACTTCCTGTTCTCTCTCTCCTTCCTGTGTGTAGATGAAATGCCATAGCTCTGCTTTGAGACTTTCAGGGCGGCCCCATGTTCCTGCTGCCATGCCTTCTCAGACAGGGTGGACTGTTCCCCATGCAACAGAAAGCCAAAAGAACCTTTCTTAGCTGGGCGGTGGTGGCGCACACCTTTAATCCCAGCATTCGGGAGGCAGAGGCAGGCAGATCTCTGTGAGTTCGAGGCCAGTCTGGGCTACCAAGTGAGTTCCAGAAAAAAGAAACCTTTCTTCCCTAAGCTGCTTTGTGTAAAGGTATTCCATCACCATAACAGAAAAGTAAATAATACGTGTACTCCTAAGCCCACAGTCTTGAATTAGATGCTACTCCTGTCTTGTATGAGGTACCTAACTTTAGGCAAGCTATTACTTTTATTATACTTTTGGATATGTAGCTTATCCTGGCTCATAATATGAAAGGTACAAATGGCTGTATCATATTTCCAGCTCCAAATTTCACCAATGTTTCTGATGTATCCTTACAGATTTGGGCTATGCAAACATTAGCAAATACATATTTTTCCTTCATTTTCTTTAAACAAATGACACCATTCAATGAATGCTTCTGGAACTCACTTAGCGTATCTTGGAGAATATGAAAAGAAATGTCATCAATTAACATTGTACTTATTACTCTATTACTTTGATATTCTGTAACTGAAACAGTTTCCTAATGCTAGTTATTGGTGTATGTGTGTGTGTGTGTGTGTGTGTGTGTGTGTGTGTGTGTGACAGTGTGCATGTGTGTGAATTGGTACATGCCTATGGAGGCCATAAAATAACCGTGTGACTGGATCAGTTGGGCTGACCCGTGAGCCTTAGGGAGCTTCCTGTCTCAGCTTCCCAGGCATGGAGATTGCAGGTGTGTGTCACCACACCTGCCTTTTTACCAAGGTGCTGGGCACCTGCGCTTGGGTCCTCACGCTCACACAGCAAGCACTTTCCAATGGAAATGCCTCCTCAGCCCATTGACAGACACTCAAAATGTTAATACTTAAAAAGAGTTTTCAAAACTTATTTAGCTCCATTGTGCTCTTTTTGTTTTGTAGATTGTCTGTTGCTATTTCTGTTTTGATGAAGGAAGTTTGGGTGGGTTTCGCTCTTTTCATTTCTTATCAAAGTTGAAAATGATGTGGCCACCTGATAATATTGTTGAAATAATTTATTCATTTAAAAACATTTAGAGAGAACATGCTATGTGCCAGATTGTATTTTAGACAGCAAGGAATTTTCAGTAAAGAGAACTCCGTAATTTAGTAAGTTAATACTTTAGTTTAGAGATGCAGATAAAACAAAAACTAAGATTGATAATATGTCAGATAGTGACGAACATTGAGGATAAAAAATAATGTGAGCAATAAGTGTTTTAAAAACTAATACACACACATATTAGTGGAGGATTTCAATTTAATAGAGTGGTTGGGGAAAGTCTCACAGAAAAATAATACTTGAGCAAAGACCTGAAGTTGATGAGGAAGGAGAGTGTTCTAAGCAGAGATTTCATCATGTTCAAAGGCCCTGAGGTGACTGCTTTAGAAACAGAGGCTAGTGTGGCTCAGAACGGTTTAGTAAGTGCATGAGGTTTATGGAAAGATACAAACTATACTCAGGCTTTGTGGGCAATTGCTTGCATTCTGGATGAGTGGAGAGACATAACATGATCTGCTTTAGGTTGAAAAAGTCTTACCCCAGATGCAGGGATGAGAGCAGCCTTGAGCAAAAGTAGGAAACCAGCTGGAGGTTACTGCATTGTGAGGGGCATGCAATAGGAGAAATGTCAAGAAACAGTCTGGGTGAAGATTATTTAAAAGTAAGGAGAAAGACCAGGATGATGGCCCATGCTTGTACACTCAGTATTTGGGAGACTCAATATTTAGGAGATAGAGGCAGAAAGAGCAGGAGTTCAAGAACATCCATGGCTACATTAGAAGTCCAAGGCCAGTGGACCCTATCTCGACAAAGAAAGGAGAAATAGTTAATGATGGTTTGACTGTTGAGTGGAGGAGATTTCAGGGTGATATCACTGTTCTGAGCAGTTTTTAGAGGAAAGACCAGGAGGTATTAGCAGGCAGAACAGCAGGCCATTTACAAAAGTAACCAAGGACTGGAGAGATGGCTCAGGAGTTGAGTGCTGGTCTTACAGATGTCTGGGGTTTGGTTCTCAGCCACCACACTATACAACCTCCTGTAACACCAGCTTCAGTGAATCCAAAGTATTCTTCTGGCCTCTACATGTGTCCACACACAAGATGATGCCTTGGTGTCCAAATTACTGTCTGGCATATACCCACAGACATACACATATAGGGTTAAAAAGACAAAACAACTAAGTATTAAAAAATAACCAGCAACCCCATCTGGCTTGAACGTGTGCAGGCCTTGTGTATGCCGCTGCTAAATCAGTTTTCTCCAGTGGAGTCTCACTGGGTACACCAACCACACTGCCCAGTCAGGCCCAGCCCCAGGCCTGAGTAGTTGATCAACCCAAAACAAATTCAGTGGTATTTTCAAGGATTTTTGTTTGGTGTTGATTTTTTGTTTGTTTGTCTGCTTGTTTTTCTTAATGGCCATTTGGGTTTTTTTTTGCTTTGGTTTTCAGTTTCCATGGTATTTTGTTTATTTAGATTTTTGTGTGTATGTGTTTCTTGCTTATTTTATTTTTGCTTTTATTTCTTGTTTTTCTTGAGAAAGAGAGACAGAGAGACAAGAGAGAGAACACAAAGTTGCGTGGGTGGGCAGGAATGTTCTGGGAGGACTTGGGAGAGGAGAAAAATATGATTAAAATATATTTCAGGGATTTTTTTTTTTTAGTAAAAAACATAACTAGAAGCCTAGTACATTTTTGGCTTTCAATTCCTATTCACTTTCTTTCCTCTGGAGGTACAACATTATGGGATATGACTAAGAATTTTTAAATTGCTTTGCACTGGAACATTATCCTTTAAACTGTTAGAAATAGTATTTCTAATCTGAATGACCTGGGATGATGTTCAAGTCTGTAATGAACTAATAAACAAGCAGGCATGTCCGCCTTTAACAGACAGAGTGGGCCGTCTCTAAATAAGACAATGAGAATGTGCAAAGCTTATCTTAAGGATGTCCAGCATCCCTTTCGTTTCACCTGTGGATGGAGGATATCTGTTATGGTTAAATACAATGCACCCCCTGCAAATGCTCAAAGGTACAAGTTATGAGAAGCATCGTTTGTTGTGTGTGCACACTGATATGGATGTTTGTAAGCATCTCTAGTGGCCTAAGGCTAGGAAAACCTGGAAGAGACATGCATGTAGATACCAGCATCTATTGGAAAATATGTGCCAAGAAGGAACACTCTCTCTCTCCCTTTATCCTTTCCTTTAGTTCAAGAGGGACCGTGGTACTTCTGTGCTCATGGCACCCCTTATCCTTGTTATTCTGAATCAAATGACATACTTTGAGATGAACACTGCTGAGGAAGAGCAGGAGAATGGGTCCTTGTGGTGTTAACTTCTACAATTACGGGGTAGAATTTCTAGAAGAGAGTGTCACAGGATGGAGGCTGATAAAAATAAAAACATGGAGTCTCTTGAGTATCCTCCATGGACTTCAGATGTGTTAAAGGCTTTGGTTCTTTTGCCATGGACAATGGGAAGACCCATATTAACCTCTACAGCATGAACTGGGAAAACTCACCACCAGTATGTTGTAGGTCCCCATGGTAATGCCAACCCTTTTCCCATCAGAGTGTGATACAGCCCAGCTGATGACAGTATAGAGAACTGGGGTAGTGCGTTAGAGGGCTGTGGCCTGCCCTGCCTTTGTTCCTTCTCTAGACTCATACAGAAGCCAGCAGGTCAGGGAACTGGGTCAGGGCCCTGAGGTCAGTGAAGGGGAACAGGAGACATGGAGGAGGCACCAGTGGAAGAACAACCCAGGGAAACCACATTAACCACCGCTCTTTCCCAACCGATGCAGTGACGTGGCCTTCCATGGCACGTGTGTAGGACAGAAGGCAGTAGGATGATCTGGACGATCACGTTACACATCCTCTCCTCTCCTCCCATCTGTAATCATCAGTGGCCTAGTGCCGTCCTGAGCATCTAACACAGCTCAGCGAAGGACCTGCTGTAAATTATTGATAGCCCAGTGTGAATACACTTAAGCAAACTGGCCTCTCTCTCATGAAAGCATTCAGAGAAATGGGTCTAGCTCTATGCCTGGGTTACGGTAAGAAATTAATAATGGGATGAAAGTAAGCCATCCCTCCCATGATATATTGCTGTCTCTTATTTCTAATAGTGACATTTAAATTTTAAAACTCAAAATGATAATGAAATCTAATCAAACAGAAAGTCAAGGTTGTGAAATCCAGCCAGGCGGTCAGCCCTCCAGTCAGTCCTACAGCTGGAAATATCAGGTAAGTCTCTAGACACCATAGTCTTCTCTGGCGTCTTCAAGGGCCATTATGACAATATGGTTTTCAGGTGAGTTGGCATAATACTTAGAGTGGAATTTGGGCATAGGAACGGTGGGGAGATACAGGAGAAGGAGGGATATACTGCAGGCCAGCTGCTGTCTGGTGAGGGAAATACAAAGAGTGGAGCCTCAGCTCAGCTCAGCTCAGCTCAGCTTTCCTCAATTCTTCCCACATTAAAAACAAAACAAAAGAAAACAACAACAACAAAAAAACCCAGACACCATACTGTCAGGTTCTTCTGATATGAACAGTTGATTATCCATGGTGGTGGCCTAGCAAGAATCTGTGGTACATGATACCATGAAATAGTCGTCACAATCATGTTTAACATGAGGAGTTCATCTGGGTGAGATGTGGAACAAGCTTTGTGAGTTATTAAATGTTTTCAGGGTTGATTGACATCCCTGCATAGCAACCCCTGAGCAAAATCACTATAACTGCTATCCACACTCTAGAGGAAAGGTCAAGACACATGGTTACTAAGGATCATAGCTATTATTCTGGATGATTTTCCCACTAACTAAATGGACGTAATTTTAATATGAGAAACTTCAGATTTCTAAGGTCAAACAGTGGATACTTCCTTTTCAGGAATGATCATAGGAAATTTCTGTGTCATCCCATCTAAACTATGATGTACTTTTGAGAACTTAAAATACCCATCACAAAATATGACATTTAAAAAGTGAAACTTGGAGATACTTGGAGCTAGTGTCAATAAATACATATTTTACTTTTATGTCAAAGAAGCTTAAAGAGATAAAACTTACATTTCCTCTTGCCGATAGTCTAACTCCCAGTGTGAATTGTTCCCACTTTGGGCATAAACAATCCCCACCGTTACACCTACGATTATAGCTGGAACTCCTAAGTGACAAAGAGAGACAAAGAGTTAATAGTTTGCCCATGATGGAGATTAATTATAAAAGACTTCCAGTAAATTATACATCTGACCTCTTTATTTTTTTCCTCTTTGGACAATCTACTGACCGATGAGTAGAGGTAGATTAAATGTAGACAGAATTTTTCTCTGTTTTTCTTTTTTTAATTTATTTTTAGTGTTGTCTCTATATACCAATCCTATCTGATTTTTCATTCCTTTGTATCTCCGATCACAATGTTCATCACAAAATGTCTGAATTAGAGTTTCACTGAGACAATTCTTCCATTTGTCTTTGCTGGGGCACAATATAGCTTTCAAGAATTTTTTTCTTAACAAGTCAGTCATTCTGACTACTTTCTGTGAAACACTCCCATCAAAGTAGCCAGGAGATTATTCGCATCTGTTCTAAATCTAGCATAAATCAATACAGAGATGTTTAAAAAACTAACCTCTTTCATTTAGCTTATACTATGTCCAGTACACCCGTCCTGGTTCCTCCCTGAAGAAAAAGCTACTAGACAGAAACAGTACTTCATTACTCTATTTTCTTTTCCTGTACCCTGAGTGATTAGCCCTCCCTCCAATGGGTGTTTGTTTCCATGAAACAATTGCAACAAGTGAAATGTCTGAACAGTGTTGGTGCAAACCCTTACCCCATCCAACTAACGAGATGACAAGGATGAAGTGAGGGGGGAGGGGCTTCATGGTCCTAATCAGAAGGAAGTAGAGCTGGGTAGCACTGAGTCCGTTCCAGGTGAACGTCACCAACAGGAAATAGTGGAGTAAGGCGGCGATGGCTGTGCACGAGGGGTTCGGGGTGTCAACGGTGTCTCGTACAGGTATTTCGTTGTTGTCAGGGTTAACACTGATGTCACTATCACTTGTCTTTAAGTTCTTATTGGAGTTTTCGATTCCAAACACAAAGAGGAGATTAAAAATCAACATTGATGTACACAAACTGACCAACACCCAGGTTACTGAGGTTTTTCTGATTTTCCTAAAAATAAAAAAAAAATGAAAAATAAATATAAAGAACTAGGTCCTAACACAACTGAAAAAAATCAGAGCTGGAAAGATGTCTCAGTTGCAGAAGATCCAGATTCAATTCCCAGCAGTCAATGGTGTTTCCCAACTCTGAAACTCCTGTTCACGGGGACTCTGATGCCCTCTTATGGCCTATATGGGTACTGCAAGCATGTAGTGCCCTTAAATACATGTAGGCAAAACACTCATACACCCAAAAATAACAAAATAAACAAAGAATTTAAAAATCCTCAGAGAAACTATGAAGAACTAAATAAATGCATTGCTAAATATAAATCCAGTTCATGGCCTGGTGGTAAACCTTCCTTTCCTCACATCAGAAAAGAGTTTCTACAAAGCAGTGAATTCTGCCGACAGGTGGAGGTACCCACTGCATTCTGACTACAAAGAAATAATAGCTAATATCTGAAGCCAGTGGCCAGTGAGCCCTAACCCCCAGCATTTGTGCCCTCCATAGTCCTCTTCCAGGCCTGTCCTGGCCTTGATTTAACTAACAGACTGTAACTGAAAGCTGGTGGCCAGGACTGACTTATCCATTGGGTACAGTAATGCTGAGTCCTCCTTCCATGCTTTCATGACCCTTCGCAAAGTTCAACTAGAAGAACAAGAGTGCCTAGGTCTAAAGATGTCAATATACTTATTTTATACCAATAACGTCATTTTTTTTAATTTTTAAAGTTCCTTTTAATTTGTATTTATATGTTTGTTTGTTTGTTGTATGTTTGTTTGTCTTTAGGGAGGAAGGTCCCACAGAGTCAAAGTTGCCTTGGGTCCCAGCACAGGTCACACAAAAGTCCCATTATGGCCTCCTTTGCAGCTTTCTTACTGTGCTCCTTGGAGTTCTCATGCCATGGGAAAAGTCCAGCTATCCTGCTAAAGAAACCACCCAGAAATGCTCTGGGTCTATGTACATAGAGAAAGATCCAGCTGTTCGGATACCCTAGAGCAATGGTTCTTAGCCTGTGGGCCATGACCCCTCATAAGATAGCCTGCATATCAGATATTTATATTAATATTCATAACAGTATCAAAATTACAGTTATGGAGTAGCAATGAAATAGTTTTATGGTTGGGAGTCATCATAACATGCAGAAGTGTATTAAAGGGCCACAGCATTAAGATAGTTGAGAACCACTGTCCTTGAGGAACCTCCAGAGGACTCATTCCAGCTCTTGTCTGATTACCATCTCCTGGGAGAGCTTAGCTAGACTAGTCTATCCCCAGTAAGGCCCAGACTCATGAGAGGTAATAAACTGTTCTACATCACTGAGCTTGGGGCATTGGCAAACATATACAAAGGCTACATGCAGAAGAGCCTCTACATGGCATTTTCTGCCTCAAAATAGAACATTACAAATTAATAGATGAACTTGTGTTTGGATGTAGAAAAAAGTCCAGGGTTTATTTTTTTTAAAAAATCATTTGTAAGTTTTAAATTAATGCCACTACTCTTAAAAGTTAAAAATACAATAATGTGATGCATTTACAAGAAAATGCTAGGCTATTTTGCTTACATTTCACTTAAATTGTAAATCTCCTATAAACCTATAAAATTAGGCAAAAAAAGTGTTTTAAATTCAATAGATCAGTTTATTCTGTAGTTATAGTTTTATAAGGCCCAGGATGGTACTTAGCCCTGGGGAGCAAGGAGTAAAAGACACACCAAACCATAGAGAGGCCGAGGAGCCCCTTGTCTTTGTAAACTGTCCTGCAGCCTATAGCCACAACAATAAAACCCCACAAAGGAGACAAAATTAGATGTCCAGCGGAAAAGTCAGGTGAGAAGAAATATGTTCGTAAGTCCTTACTTAAAATTTAAAGAATTTTTTTCTTAAAAACAGACAGCTATGAAACAATAACTTTAGAAGTTTCACCATTGGAAAACTTCACTTATTTTAAAAATTATTTTCAAAACTTGGTTGTTCAGCAATGTTTTCTTCTTTTGCAATCCAAAAGAAGACATGTTCCATTCCACATCAAAGAGCTGCAGGATCTATGGGCTATGGGCTCGTATTGCTATTGAAACCTTTGCCTTATTTGTAACTATATGTTTACCATAACTTTAGCTCAGCCTCTTTGGGATTGTGCCTTCTGTAAAATGAGTATGTGGACTGAGTTTCCTTCTATTTTAGAGAAATTAAATTCTGAAATGAATGCTCCCAGTAAATTACAATCAGGAGAGCAGTTTGTCCCATGAAAAGCAGCCCTTTTCCTCTTACCTGGTGACAATCTGGAATATGATAGTCAGAGCCAGGCCAGCAATGGACAGAGCACAGCCAATGTTGGACAATATGTCTAGAGATTTGGGGTACTGGTAATCCTTTTTGAAAGTCTGAAAAAAATAATTTGACATAGATTTTTAAATAAGCTAGCCCAAGCATTTAAAAAAATATTAATATAAGTCAGTATTGTAGAATTACATTGGTTAAAATAACCAGCCAGAGGCCAAATGGCCAAATATGCCTTCTTTTTTTTTTTTTTTTTTTTTTTTTTAATCAAGCCCCTTGGACAGGGAAGCTTGGCCATGGACAGGCTTAAGGAAGGGAGAACGGACCTATAGGAAAAACATGAATTTAAGAGCTATTTCTTTTCCACTTATCAGCAAGAGCAGCAACTTGGACAGAAGCAAAGGAAAATGTTTCCAGACGTCAAAGTGACCTACATATGGCCAGGTATGTATTAAACGGTTCCCCTCTCTCATGGACCTCACTCTGAGTTCATCCAGTAGGATGTGCCATCTCTTTCACATGTATGCATCCTTTCCATGCTTAAAAACAGTGCTAAATTAAATATGTCCATTTCTATCCTAAGACCACATTGTAAACAACAACAACAAACTGTTTCTTTCTTTCTAGCACGTTCCCTTTTAGACCTACCACTTCATTCATCCCCTGCATCTCCCATTTTTATCTGAACTTAGCATCTATGCAAATTACACCTCCTATACAAATTGCACATTCTCACCATCAACACTGCAAAATTGGTTGTGTGGTTGCAGCGGCAGCCGAGAAATCCTGTCGAGCTCCCATCTTTTTGGCAGCCCCGTGTGTCCCAGTCCCTCGTTACGAAATTCCAGTAGACACAGGCATAGGAGTGAAGCTGGAATTCTCTTCTGTCATACTGTGAATTGGTGACATGTTCAATGCTTAATTGGATAGGGAAAAAAAATCTAATAGGATAAGAGTCCCAAGAGAAGCAAGTACATGTTAAGCATTAATGTCTTCCTTGTAGACTAAAGAAAGAATAAGGGCATAAAAAGGCAGGTGTGGTAGCATATAGCTAGAATCCAAGTACTTATGAAGCTGAGGCCAGTGGACTGCTCCAAGTTCAAGGCCAGCTAGAGCTGTATAGTGAGAGTTTGTCTCAAAAGCAAACTAAATAACCACCCAATCAAAGAAAGTACATAAGGATACAAATCAATTCACTTTCTCTTTAGATAGCTTGTCAGAAAATTAGGTAAGATTTAAATGGTTACTTCAAAAGAGCTTTCAAAGAGATGTTCTGTAGAGTCCTTTTTGTCTTATATCATGGTTAAATTTTTTAAAATTAATTTATTGATTTTACATCCCGACCACAGGCAGCCTCCCCTTCCTCCTCTCCTACTTCCTCCCCCATCTCCCTTCCCCTCAAGTCCCCACCCTCCCTCAGTATTCGCTCAGACAGGGGCAGGCCTCCCATGGGCTTCAACAAAGCATGGTATATCAAGCTGCCAAACCCCTCCCCCTGTATTCTGTCTGGGCAAGGCAACCCAGCATGAGGAATAGGTCCCCAAGAGCCAGTCAAAGCACCAGAGACAGCCCTGCTCCCATTGCCAGGAGTCCCACAAATAGACCAAGTTACACAACTGTCACCTATATGCAGAGGGCCTAGGTTAAGAACAATGACATCAGGGAATTTGAAGGCAAATGGATAGAACTAAAAAAAAGAAAAACCATCCTGAGTGAGGTAACCCAGACCAGAAAGACAAACAAGGTATGTACTCACTCATAAGTGATATTAGCTGCAAAGTAAAGGATAACCATGCCACAATCCACAGACCCAGAGAGACTAGGTAACAAGGAGGGCCCAAGTAGGAGATGCATGGATCTCCCTGGGAAGGTGAAATAGAGATCTCCTGGGTGGACTCTGAGTAGGTGGGCATGGGAACTCTACAAGGAAGTGCCTACAAGGAAGGCCCCAGCTAAGACTCCTGGCAGCAGCGGATGCATTATCTGAACTGTGCATCCCCTGTGATCAGATTGGTGACTACCCTCGTTGTCAGTAGAGAGCCTTCATCCAGTGACTGATGGAGGCAGGTTCAGAGACCCATGGCCAAACATTGGGCCTAGTCCTACTGAAGAGAGGGAAGAAGGATTGTAGGAGCCAGGGGCCTCAGGGACTTCAGAGGAAAACCCACAGGAAAGGGTAGCCTGGCTCTTGGAAACTCACAGAGTCTGAACCAACAACCAGGGAGATGGCATGGGACTGTAGAGTTCTTTTATTTAAATTATCTCCGGTTTTGTAATTAAGAGGAACCAGATTTTTAAAATTTCTATTCATGGGGAGACTCACCGTGGGATTAAATACCATTTGCACAGAAACATCCGGATTTTGGTCGCTTGCATTTATTTTGCCTGAGATAATTTTTTGGCTAAAATCTGATGTAGCGGTGAAAGTTTTTGATTGGAAAAGTTTGTGGTTTTGATACACTACAAAACCACATGAATTTTTATCTGTGGAGAAAACAGACATTAATATTCAACAGATGTACCTGGTGGTGAGCAAAAATAAAGGTTTCAGGTCATTGCGGAGCTGCATGGTCGCTTCATATTTGAATAAGGTACAATATAAAATAGTTCACCTGCTGAGTTTTTACTTGATTACAATATAGTATGGTAATGTTACAGTATGCATATATAACATTGCTGTGCACAGCCATTGGTTCATAACCACCTGTACAATGCAGGCCATGGGAACCAGTATGTCTCTTTTGGGGCTGGCCATCAGGACATTCTCTTGGCTTTTCTGATCTAGTAAATTTTAAGATTTCATCTAAATAAATATCTTACCCCAGGTCCAAGAGTCAGGGATGCTTCACAGACTTGAAGGAAGAGGAGTGTTACTAGACTTGTTGCATTTCCCTATTCTATTTATGAGCATTAGATCATATTCTTCGTCCAATCATATTTTCACATGCTTGCCTATGCTTCAATTATTTCTATGCAATTAAAGTCTCTATGAAAACCCAAAGGATGGAGTTCAGAGAGTTTTGGAATAGCAAAGTATGTGGAGGTTCCTGAGTGTGGTACACTCCCAGAGAGGGTACCCAAACTCTGCACCCCTTCACTCATACCTCATCCTGTGCTTATATTCATATGTATCCTTTGTAATAACCCTTATAAAAAACTAGTAAATGTGTCTACTTGAATTATGTGAGTTGCTAAAGCAAATTAAAGCCAAGAAGAGGATTATGGAAACTCTAGTTTACAATTGGACAATCATAAGTGAAGACAAAACTCTCTGGGGCTTGTAATTGGCAGTGTGTGTGTGTGTGTGTGTGTGTGTGTGTGTGTGTATTGGGGGGAAGGAAAGGGAGAGGGGAAGGGGAGAGGAAAGGAGGAGAGGGAGAAAGGGAGGGAGGGGGGAGAGAGGGAGAGAGGGAGAGAGAGAGAGAGAGAGAGAGAGAGAGAGAGAGAGAGAGAGAGAGAGAGAGAGAGAACACCTTGGCATACAGATCTATGTTGTAAGCCTATTTATAATAGGCATAATTAATATATGCAACCCATGGTTGGCTAATCGCTAATTTTCCGCTCATAGATTTCTTCCCAAGTTTCACTTTTCTTATCTCCTATATGGGGATGTCACATTTCTGCCTATTTTGTCTCAGTTATAAACATGTTGCTTTCTATGCCATAAGATAGGAGGCGGGACCTATGGGTAGACCCAGCTTTTGGTACCTCCTCCATTAGCTCAGCATTGAGCAAGTAATAGCAAAGAGCTACTGTCTGTCAAGATGGCTGTGCCTAGAGAAGCTTCCCTGAGGTCTGCCTGCCACTTGATGACATCAGGGCAGATGCCTTAGGTCACAAAGCAACAAATTTGACGGAAGCTTTGGGTCTTGGCACAGGCACTCCTCACCATCCCTGCTCTGACAGTCATCAGCTATCTCAGGGCTGGGGCGTTATTGTGAAACCGTTCTTTTGGAACGTTCGAGAATGGAGGCATCACAGGTCCTGTAGGGCTACAACTGGGGAAGTTGTACCTGCCTGGCCATGGCAGTGGTCAAACAGAACTAGCCGAGGAATTCTTCTTAACCATTTACACAGCTGCTAGCCCCATGCAAGATAGCAAGAGAAATAATAGAAAGTGCACATCTTTCGTTGTGTGCTGTATGTGTGCATGGCCTAGTCACACATCTGTACGTGAGTATACACACCTGTGCATGCATGCTGAGACCAGAAAAGGACACCAAGTGTTCTGCTCTATCACTCTCTAATTACTTTCTTGAGACATGGTCTCCCACTGAACCTGGAGCTAACGAGTCCCAGAATTCCTCTTGTCCCCTCATCTCCTACAGTTTTGGGCTCAGGCATCCACACCTGGCTTTTTACATGGGTCCTGGGGATCCAAACTCAGGTCCTCGTGCACACAAAGAAAATGCTCTCACCCGTTGGGTCATATCCCCAGCTCCTAAATGTACATTTTAACAGAATAATTGCATACACTGCATTTACTCTCTCTTTCATAAGTGATATGACAAAAATGGCAGCCGTGAGCCATGCCTATTCCATCACGTGACTTGAGAAGGAGACAGGCAATGTCCTGATGGTCTCTTGGTCACTGCTTTGCCAGTTATTCTTCTCTAGCCTCTACCTGGGAGGGAATGTATGGCTTTCTCACGTTCTTCACAATAAACTGTCCTCACCAAATCTTTCCCTCCTGGATACTATATGACAAAATTCACTCTATTTTATTTTATTTTGTAGGAATAAGCCATTTTAATCCACCAAAAACAAATTTATGTTTATGATTTCTAAAAGTAAAATCAGACTTTTCCAACCCTTAAACTTTGCATTTAATAATATCTTCTAAGCAAAACACAGATGCTGGGGAGGAGAGTCAGTTTTTCTCAGGGATGGGCTCCCCGGTAAGTTATCCAGTCACAAGTGGTCCGCTCTAAACACATCTGCATACGAGCAATACTAAACGGACTTTGTAGTTTGTGTGTGCGTGTGTGTTCTTATTGTTACACACACACACACACACACACACAAGTCAAGAGTTTGAGAGGCAGTAGGAGGGGACACAGGAGGAGTTGGAGGGAGAGAAGGGAAGGGGTGAAAACCAGTCATTTCAATACAGTACTCATGCATGAAAATCTTGAAAAAAAATTAAATGTAAATAAAAGATAAAAAAGCAAAAGCAAAATACAGATGTTAAACCAGCACTTTGGATTTCTATTTTCTTTTTTAAATAAAAGACTGGCATGCTTGAGATGAAACTGAAATTCGTACAAGCGCATGGATTCTTTTTTAAGAATTAGCGTTCCTGCTCACTCTTCCCCTCAGTGCTATAGAATTTTGAGTATCTGTTACAAAAATCATAATTTTTACAAATACTTAGATTTCTTAGACTAACTTATATTTGCATCTTGTTGTTTTCAAGTCTCCACATTTTTTAGCTATTCCTTTTCTACACCTCCTCCTTCTCCCTCTGTCGGCTTTAAAGGGTAGAGGCTGGCTTCATTGTTTTTCATCGAATCCATTTTCCATTTTGTTGATCAAGCCTAGCATTTGTTAATTTATAATTTTATTCACTTATATCCTTATGTTTATTCATTCTTACTCCTAACTTTCTTTATTTTACTTTTATTCTTCTTCAGATGAGTGTAAGAGTCTCATAGAAATACAGATCTGTATGCCTGGCACTATTATTTCAATCTGTTACTCTCCAAGGTGTTTTTGGAATGCAGAAGGATTCTCTGTTACCTGAAATAGTAGAACTGAGATTACTGTAATGTATTAGAGCCCAAACACACTCAAACAAAATTATTAGGTGTAAAACTAAGCTAGGATTATTCCTCCCTTCATGGATTTCAAGTCAGTAATCCCTTGAATTTGAATGTATTTACAAAACAATGCAAAAAAAAAAAGGTTCAAGACATACTTTGCCCAGTATTAAGCAAGATCTGAAGCTCAGTCTGTCCATCTGGATTGAGTCTGTCTGCAGTTTTATTAACAGATGTTCCACCAGAAACTAGAGAATCACTCGATCCTACAAGAAAAGGAGAAGTAGAATTTTAAATATCTGCATATTTAAGTTGAATGAACCAGGAACTGTTTGTGATTGGCAGCGGACTGCTCTTTACTGTTCCAAGTGCAGGGGACAAACAGCTTACCTCTCTGTACAGAGAAGAGAACACTTGACCCCGTACCATCGCCTCGAGTAACTGACTGGACTGCTACGTTCGGCTCCACCACTGATTCGTCACCCAGAGAAAAGGAGTAAGACTCCATTTGCTCAATAAGCCTGCAGCCAATGAGACATCACAATGCAGCATTTTGTCATAAACTCAGAGGTGTGTTGTCTCCCTCATTACATTAGAAAAGGCGTGAGCACACAACCCCTATAGTCACGGTGACGTGACAATTACCTGTACGTATGTGGATTTGTGTGTATTTACCTAAATATGTGTCTGTCCTCTTCACCAGAGTCTTAGCTTATCACATGTAATTTTTAAAATGGTATGGTGGTTACCCTGCAAGTTTTGTGCCCCCATTGCATTAGCATGTCTTGCAGGCAGGGCAGCATTGTCGAGAAGAGGCTTTGTGGCTGGGCTGGTGTTTAGGTTTCTCCTTTGGTAATTAGTGTGCAGAGTATTTTTGTAACAAAGATGCTAGCACGTCGATGTGAAGGCTCTATGTAGGTACCAGCTCAGCTTCTCCGTGTTCAATGAATTTTGTAAGTATTGTCTTCAGCAATGGGGAGCAATTGCCTTCAGTTTGTGGAGAGCAACCTACAGTCTTGGCAACAGCCTGGAAGCTTCATTTGATAAAAATTTGTGGGAGTAAGCAACCATTATCTAATTTGACTTAAGGCCACAAGATAGAACGAACTCATACCCGACACAGCTTGGGTGACCAAGAACCTGATACAAGTTAGCCCAGGGATCTAAGGTAAAACCAAATACTACTGCTCTAAAAACAAACAAAAATATAGCAATAAAGTGACTCCTAATGACATTCTGCTCCACTCATAAATCCGTACTTTGCTCAGCCACCATCAGAGAAGCTTCCTCCTGCAGCAGACGGGAACTAATATAGACATTATGCAAAGACAAATTTTGGAACACTCAGCCCTAAATGGGATGTTTCGATCAAATTCCCCCTCTCAGGGTTCAGGGAACCCCACAGAAGATGAGGCACAAAAATGTCCCCCCCCACCCTCTCTCTCTGCCTCCATCTTGTGGGATAAGATGTAAGCTCTCAGCTTACATCATGCCTGCCTGCCTGCTGCCATTCTCCCTACCATGGTGGTCATGGACTAACCCTCTGAAACTGTAAGCCCTCCATTAAATGCTTTCTTTTATAAGTTGCCTTGCTCACGGTGTTTCATCACAGCAATAGAAACAGTAACCAAGACAGTCAGGATAACTGAAGTGGGTAACTAAAGAAAGCTTCCTAGAGCAAAAGTGCAAACCAATGGGAGATGCATAGAGTAGGTAGTGTTAGGGAGGCAGTCTTACATCTCCAATTAGGCAACTAATATTATATTGACCTTCAATATAACAAGGATCCGGGGTTATAGATCAGCCTTTGCAACCAGTATTCCAAAGGAGAAATGAAAGCCTAACCTCATTGATTGTACCAAATTACTGCCACCAGCAGAAACCCTATTCAGAGCCTCAGAGCTTTGGCTACCTGGAGATTCTGCCCGTCCCAGTTTAGAAGAGGAGAGTACATACTTTACTATGACAACTTGATGGGGTTGAAGCCTGGCTAGATAGAGTCTTTCTTCCCTATCATTCTCCTCCCTTTTACTTTCATCTTTCTTATTTTCACTTTCCCCCTAAATAAACAGACTAGAAGGAGAATTCGGTAGCCGAGGGACATAAAAAGAAAGTATGAGTAGCAGAAGGCAGAAGTAAAAGTGAGATGGGTGGCTGAGAACTGGCTTAGGAAGAGATCTTGCACCTAGGCCTAGCTCAAGAGATGGGAGTTCGTAGATCCAGGGTTGCCCTGAGCAAATTTGGTTTCCTCCCCTTGAAAGAGGGAGAATGAAGGGAGAGGTCACTGGCAGCTCATCAAGAGTACAGCTGCCCCTCAGTTTCTACAGGGGATTGACTGGTTCCAGGGCCCTCTAGGCCTACGGACATTGGATTCTGACAATGCTTAAATTCTTGCATAAAATGATGCAGGGCTTACCTATAAATCTATGCCTTCATTTCTGTATACTTAAATAATATCGAGATTACTTATGAAATCTATCAATATAAATTGTATCTAAATTCTTGCTCTAATGTATTGTTTAGAGGATGACGACAAGATGTTCAGCTCATTTTTTTTTTTTTTGAGTAATTTCAGCTTGTAGTTGGTGGGATCATAGATATCGAAGTCATGAACACAGAGGGCTTGAGTCTCCTGAGAACTGTGAGGTTAATGGAAGAAGTAAAAGAATTGGGTAAGTGAATGACAGAAGGGTCAGAGTCCATGAGAGCTTTGCAAATACCACATGGTAGAAGGTGAACCGATGGACCACAGTCAGAAAATGATGGGCTGGAGACAGAGCGTGAGATGAAGGAGAAGTGGAGACTGGTTGAACAGCTTTGTAGTTCAGTGCAGTCTGTGTTTGAGGTTTATTTCTCCTCCAACCACCGTTTTTTAAGCCATTAGCATGTTACGCATAAATTACACAAGGTTATCTTTTTCTCTATACATAAGCCAGTAAATGTATAATTGTTTCTTAGCAAGGTATTGTCATCTATGTCATAACCTATAAAACTCTCAGATAAATCCTACATTTTCCCTCTCTCTTACCAAACACATTCCCCCACCCCTTATTCTAGCAATGCTCCGCTACTGCAGATCCTTCTCTGACTAGCAGTGGGAAGGCTTCCTCTGGCTTTCATTTCTATTTTCAGTGAACATAGACTCTGGAGCTCATGGTCACCTCCTTCCCCACTTTAGGAAAAAAAGAGGTACCTTCAGCCCCATGAGAAGGATCGAACCTCCTCTTGGAATCTGAAGTCATGAAATGTACCAGTCAAACTGTATACATGACCTCTGCCCCTTCTGTCAGAACTGTGGTCTTTTGAGTGCTGTTTCACATGTACCCCTTTTCTACTTTGAGGGTGTAACCCCAAGTAGATGCTGGCTGTACTCAGTCAAAAACTGAAGAGTCACACGGAGGAATGTCCCTTAAGGATATGAGGTCATACAAATAATGATTCTGTACAGAAGGTTGATTGTCCATCATACTAAAAGACTTAACATCATCTGAAGTCTACCAAACAGAGACTTGGTTAGGGAAAAGCTCACTCACTGCAGTGGGTTATTTTTAAACAAGAGTTTATGTAGTGTGCACATGTGCACACATGTGTGGCATGTGCAGGGCCATGTTATATGTGAGGAGGACCTGTGAGGGTATGTCAGGACGAGTTAACTGAAGGAGGAAAGACTCTCTGCTAGAGCAGGCAGCCCCTTCCAGAGGTGGCCAGAAGTAAAGAGGACGGACGGAAAGACAGTGCTTCTTGCTCGCCGTCTTCACCTTGCTGGCCAGTGCGTCTACTTTGGTGTTGCTGTTGCCATTTTGTGTTGATATTGGAACCCAGCTTCTCAGGCCTTCCAACTGAACTGAGGACCAGCAGTTCTCCATGTGGTGGTATATTGTGTACCCTAATAAACTTGCCTGAGGATCAGAGGACAGAGGCTGCCACTAGATTAGACACAGAGCCAGGCAGTGGTGGCACACACCCTTAATCCCAGCACTTGAGATCTCATGCCTTTGCACACATGCCTTTAATCCCGGGAAGTAATATGTCTGGGCAGAGAAAGGTATATAAGGCGTGAGGAAACAGGAACTCACTCTCTCTTTAGGCTGAGGAATTTGTAGAGCTAAGAATTAGTGACTGGCTGTTCTGCTTCTCTGATCTTTCAGCTTTTACCCTGATATCTGGCTCTGTTTTTTTTTTTTAAGACCATCTAAGATTCGAACAACATCTCCATGAATCCTTCAGGCCTTCAGCAGGACTACTGAGGCATCCAGCTATGGACTTCTCAGCCTCTGTAGTGTATACACAGCCATTGTTGTCCCCCTAACCCATATTGTGTAAGTCAATCCAGTAAATACACATTTGTAATACATATTCTGTCTGCCAATTCTGCTCCTCTAGTGAACCCTAATATACCCGTATGATGCAATAATCTAGAATTATGGTGTACATGTATAGATATTCATATTTTTAAAAATATCTTAAACTATTAAATGATAATAGATTAATATATTATGTAATTACTTGTATGTATGAATGCATGAATATATATACATAGAGAAAACATTTGGAGTATATGCTAACCAATTAATAAAGGTAAATAATTACAAAGAATTTGCCAAGTGTATAATTTCTCGTTTTTCTGAAATAAGCATACTTACATGTAAAAGGGGGTTTAAAACAGTGTACTTTAGTGAGGGGCCTCTGTGAATAAATATGATTTTTTATATAAATATACAATCAAAAGTCATCAGGAACATAGCCTTCATAAGAGAAAGCAAAGGAGGGGAGTTGGATTTCTTTTTCTTTTTTGAAGTAGCTATAGGAAAACTGGAAAAAGCTTATCAGTTTTTGGGAAGAGCGCTGAGGTGTGAGCTGGAGGCTGACAGTGTGCTGTATCTGGGAGCCGGCTGCTTTCTGCGGCGCCGTGCACCAAGAAGGGAGCTGGAGGAGCACCTCTGTGCAGAGGTTGCAGCCTTGACCGCACCCAACCCAGGTTAAGGGAACAAACATCCCAGTTCTCTTTTCCTCCTAGCCCCCCCCCCCCCCCCCCCCCCGGAACCAAGAGGTAGCACATATCACTCCATGTAGGAGCAAGATCATGTGGGAAGTCACGGATTTTCTCTTGATTCCTAAAGCATCAGGCAGTTGTGGCACCCCTGAGAGATACAGGTCCTCTATTTGTGCTTTAACCTAAGAAGGTAAGTGGTACTTCCCAAACTGTGTTCCAAACTGTTGCTTACGTGGAAAAGGAGTCCTCATTAATCACAGCAGCTTTCTGAAAAACATCTTCACTGGCATCCAGAATCTGACTCACTGTGGTTATAGCGACTCTTTTTGCCTGGGAGGGAGAAGGCATATCACCGAAGATATGTGTCATGTATAATCATTACTACTATCATGAGGAACTATCATGGTAGAAAATAACATGATTAGCATGATAATCCAAAGGAAAAAAAGTTTAAATCAAAGTTTCAGTTTAAGACGTATATAATATAAAGGAAGGGGCCAAGATAAGAAGTAAAACCATAATAAAGCTGGTGAAGTAGGAGGTTTAGGATTTTGAGTTTGACCTCATGATAAGATCATTCACAGCCCTTTTCCATCCATAAGAACAGAAGAGCAAGTGCTTGTCTAAAAGTAGACACAAATATGGCTGCAGGCCTGCCTGTCCAAACATCATAGCTCACAATGCTCAGCATGACTTATCAGTTGTACATATATAACTATCAGTAAATTATCTTTAGTTTCTTACATTTGAAAACTCAGGAGTGAGACGGAGAGACAATGGCTAGGCATTTCATTCCTGTGTCTTTGCTGACTAATTTTTCTATTAACTCTACAATCGGACGTGCATATTCTTTGAATTATGTCTTCCATTATCTTATTACTTAAAACCTACTTCTCAAGGGACCTTTGGTAGTCAAAACAATTTTTGAAAGAAAATATTTAAAGACTACAAAAGAAAGGAGCCCCTGCTGATATACTTCATATTGATGGCTTACCACCCTGCTGACCAATACAAACACTCCATTGTCGACAAATGTTGATTATACTTCTCGTTTTTATGTTTCAGAATTTAGCAGGCCATGATATTAGACATGTAAACTCAGTTTAGAGACTCTTGAGAAAGCCAAAGACCAGCCTGAGAGGATGCTTGGCACAAAGAGAGCAGAGCTAAAGGCCTATTTCAGGACAAGTGTTTAGGAAAACTGTTTATTTGGGAAAGGACATGTATGTCACAGTCTAATACAATTGCTAAACTGTATATGATAAAGCTAGAGACCTGTTCGTTCCAACTCATGCTGGAATATTTAATATAATAACAACTATCATGTCAATCCCAGAGGGTGTTTAGACAGGGAGTCCTCTTTCAATTTCTTTGTGCATCTCCCAGAAAGAGTACTCTGCCCTATGGTCTTAACTTAAATACCACCCAAATCATAGGATAAGGAATAGTATTTGAGATGCCCCTCACCCAAGGCCCTGCACATGCTAATGAAACACCACCAATAGGCTACAATCCCAAACCTAAAATCTCCAATTTTACCTGTTCTTCAGCCCCTCTGGTTTCATTGAAGATCTGTCCAACCACTATAGCGGCAGAAGTGATGTTCTCAGCAGTTAATTGATTGGCATCAGCTGTTAAAAACTGGGCTTCTGTAGAAATATTGTTCGATTTTGTTGTGATGCTGTCTATCTGTTTAAAAGGATTTTTTTTTTCAAAAAGTCGAATTTATACAAGTGTTCATAAACATTTTGCAAAGACTGCAGTTGAGCAACCTGAAATTTAGGTGAGCCTCAACCTCCTGAGCATCACACCCTCCGAGTTTTTCTTGTTTACTTTTTTTTGTTGTGTAAACAACACAAAGAGCAGAGATTTTCCTCATTTTTCACCACTTGCTTGAATTATATTAAGACTAACGGCTATAGTCATGCCACTGTGTAACTGTGGGTCAACGCATGTGGAGAGAATGAACTCAGTTTTACACTAGATGGCACCATCGCTTCAAAAATCAAACCAGTACTCACTTGTAAGGAGTGGAGACAAATTCTCTCAGCAGACAGAATGAAAAAACAACAGCAAAAAATAAACAAACAAAAAACTGTCGAATTCAACAGCCAAGTCTCTGTCATGTGCTTGGCACTCTGATGTTTTAAGGTGTGATCATACAGAACACATAATGGGAAATGGCTCTGTAAACTGAGCTCCCATGTAACACTTAAGGACTTAGACAGGTTTACACATCTTGGAAGCTGCAGAGTTGAGAGTCAAACACTGACTTGTCAGATTCCAGAATCTGCCCTCTTTCTTTCAGTGTGTGTGACTGGCAGCTACCTACACATCCTGTTTCCCATTCCCAGCCCACCCACACCCTGCCCATCTGTGATCAGGGAGCCGGTGTGGTTTCCTGTGGATTTTAAATTCAACAGTGGCTTTGTAGTGGCTTGGCAATGGTCCCTAGTCAAAGCATTTCATTCCTCAGAGCTGTACTTTCCCTCACTTATAGTAATACTTATCTGTGGTGTTTAAAAATTAAAAATGATTTAGAACACTTAGTAGTATACACAAAATGTTTTAAATGTTACAGACAAATAACCAATTAACCAAAATTTTGTTTGTTTGTTTTTGTTTGTTTGTTTTGTTTTGGTGTTACAATGATATAGAAGTGATTTACTCAATACTAACAACACATTGAATTTTTAGTTTAATCTTTTCCCATACACTAAAGATTTGCAAATGTGCTACAGTTTGATTCTGAACAACAGCAAACCACAGCTTCCGGTCATCCAAAACATGATGAAGTTAAACAATGGGCGACTTTAGAGAATGTCATGTGGGTCAATCATGATGTCACATAGATTAGGTGAATTAAGTACATCTTAAACTTACAGTGGACTTATTAGGTCTTAACTCTATCTAATGTCCAGGATCCTCTGTATTTGATAGCAGTAAATGCTCACCAGCCATAATGTCTTTAGTATGGAAATGGTATCCAATTTGATAAAGAAGATGTGACATGCTTGCACACAGAAGTGCCCACATCAAAGTTTACAGTGTCTTCCTGTTCTTGCATGATCCAATGAGTTAGCACTTCCACGCATGCTCAGTTGCCTCTATCCTATAATTTCATATGGATGGGAGCATATATAGCCATAAATCCTTATTTTAGTAGCTCATAGATACAGCCCTGAGACCAGTATCAATCTGGAGTTGTCTGTGTCTAAGGGTCATTGTTCATATCATTTTTTCCATTCATTTTGATGGAGTAGACCACCTTTGGTTTCTGAAGTCAGGGGTCTATGTTCAGTCAATACTTGAACAGTCTGCAAATATTTTCTAGACTACCATTTGCTGAAACATTCTGAAATAAAATGTCAACATTAAACAGACGTTGACTTTAACCAAATAAGAAGGATTTAACTGACTGGGTTTTCTTAATTTACAATTTGAGAGTTTTAAAAGTATTGATTTGACCATCAGGCACCTGAAGACCAAACAGACTGGCCTAGACTCAGAGCATCCCCCAAATGCCCACCAGATGGACTAGAAAGCATACCTGCATTTCCAGTGTCTCCAGATTTTCCGTGCAACTTCCTCTCATTGCATTTTGTAAATATATCTCTCCGTACTCAGAAACAGTGCACAGTCGAGTTGCTAAAGGAATCCCGGCTTTAATAAGGAGGAGAAATGAGAAAAAGTATATAAAGATAGATACAGTGATCCCTGCATACTTGCTCCATGCCAGCGTGACTCTGCTGCTTCTCCCAGGATGAGCATTTACTCACTCTTGAATCTGGGCTGGCCTGTGACTGACCTTGACCAATAGAGTATGGTGGAAATACATGACTCCCAGCACCCAGGCCTCAAAAGTTCTCTCAGTTTCAGTCACCACCCTTCTGGGATGTTAGAATGCTGTCCTGAGGTACCATAAGAGGAAGTGGGTCTATAACTACTGAAAGACAGGCCATGTGGTGCTGACTTGAGGTGCTGTGCCTAACAGCTAGCATCATGTTCCTCAAATGAACATTCTAGCTGCCACAACCAACCCGTAGAGCTGTGAGAAACCTAAAGCTTTGTTGCTTTAGGTCAAGAATTTGGGGTTGTTTTAACACCCAGGATAGAAAAGAGCAACAGTTGCTGCTGTATTCTAGGCAACTGTCTTGATCTTGAAAAACTGGACTTCGTACAAGGACCAGTTAGTTACTATTTGCTTCCTTCTTTGTCTTCAAGAAAAGATTTACTTTCCAACATGTAGGAATGAAATGACTTTGAATTGGACACAATGAAGATAGACGAGGCTGAGACCAGAATCAGTATGAAAAATTCCTACTAGCTATTAAATATATGTTGATCTTTTATGTCTATGCAAATCTGGATAACTCCTCAAAGACAAAGAATTCCAGGGTATTGCAGCAACTGCTGGATGTTCTACTGCCTCTCAATCAGCAGTTCTTTGGGCAGTTTTCTTTTCTCAGGCTATCACCTGAACTTTCCACCTCATAGTCCTCCAATCACTAATCATTATACAACATCTAAAGACAGAATCATAATTAGAAGGACAGGTGAAACGTTTTCCTCAGGATCAGTATGGAAGCAGCTGCTTTTGGAGAAATGGCAAGAAATACTGATATCAGAAATTTCTTTAATAACACTTAAAATAGAAGGTTGGAGTTTTCATTCATTTATATGATGACTCCACCTCTACTGCACGACATAAAACTTTTTTTTTTTTGGTTTTTCGAGACAGGGTTTCTCTGTGTTGTTTTAGTGCCCATCCTGGATCTCGCTCTGTAGACCAGGCTGGCCTCAAACTCACAAAGATCCACCTGCTTCTACCTCCTGAGTGCTGGGATTAAAGGCATGTACCACCACCGCCTGGTGACATAAAAGTTTTAACACACACAGGATTTATATCTTTTAAGCAGCCATATGTCAAGTGTGTCTCTTTCAATATTCACAGAAATATGAATATACTCAAACATCATTGAAATGCGTGATAACCACTTGTTATATAAACTAAAACAAAGAGAATTCTTAATACAGAATTAAAAGTGAGTTTGTTAATGGTTAAAATACATATCTTTAAAATGATATGGACTCAGTCTGAAATTCAAAGATATATATAATAAACATTTTCATAATGGTTGCTCAAATCAAATGAATGTCAAATAAAAGATGATAATATGACTCTCTTATCCCGCTCTCCAGGTATTATACCAAACATCTGCAATGACCTTCATGGATATATTACTGACACTTGCTTTTCCAAATCATAGCACACAGTTATGTTTTGTAAGTTGTACCTGGTTTATAAAACATAGAAAAGGTATATATAATGTAGAAATTGAAGACAACAGTCATTCATAGGTACACTGTAACACAAATCTTAAAAGGTCTTGTTAATAAAAAACACCCAGCACCAGATATTAGGGTGAAAGCTGAAAGATCAGAGAAGCAGAACAAGCCACAGCCAACCTCACCTTGCCAACTCCTCAGCCAATCTTGTTTCCTCAGACTGAAAGCCTCTAAGTCCTAATCAGAATGGATCTCAGATGAACTGCTCAAAAAAGTTGCTCGTTCCTGGTCCTCATGCCTTATATACCTTTCTGCTTCCTGTCATCACTTCCTAGGATTAAAGATGTATCTCCTTCCCAAGCAAAGACATGAGATCACAATTCCTGGGATTAAAGGTGTATGCCACCACTGCCTGGCTCTGTTTCCAGTGTGGCCTTGAATTCACAGAGATCCAGATGGATCTCTGCCTCCCTAGTGACAGGATTAAGAGTATGTGTCACCACTGTCTGGCCTCTATGTCTAATCTAGTGGCTGGCTCTGTCCTTTGATCCCCAGATAAGTTTTATTGGGGTGCACAATATATCACCACAGTACACTATACACTATAGTATGGTCTATAAAATATGCATAGTAAGAACAAATCTATTGAAGTCCTCCTTTTGCTTTCTCAGATATTAATCAAAAGGCTTGTGCTGTCTTGTTTTATGTCAACTTGACAGAAGCTATAGTCATCTGAGAGAAAGGAACCTCATTTGAGAAAATGCTCCCCTAAGATCTGGCTATAGGCAGGCAGGCTTGTAGGGTATTTTCTTAATTAGTGATTGATGGAGGAGGGCCCAGTCCCTTGTGGGTGGTGCCACCCCTGGGCTGTAGTTCTGAGTTCTATAAAAAAGCAAGCTGAGAAAACCATATGGAGCAAGCCAACAAACAGCACTCCCCCCATGGCCTCTGCATCAGCTCCTGCCTGTCCTGCTTGAATTCCTGCCCTCACTGCTTTTGATAATGAACTGTGATGTGGAAGTGTGAGTGAAACAAACCCTTTCCTCTCCAAGGTTTTGGTCATGGTGTTTCATCACAGCAATAGTAACCCTAACTGTGAGAAGGCTGGATCATGAATATGCGAGTAATCACTTAGAATAAGTAAGAAAGGGACACAGGAGAGAGAGATTCCTACAATGTATTTAGAATTTCAGTGTAGTCTGGAGATGCACAAAAGTGAATATCTAAATGTGAAATTCTCCTCTCTGTTACTGCTCTACCAAACATTATTTATAAATGATTTAAAAGTGACTGCATTCTTGAGGCATCCAGTTCTATAAGAAATGAGGGCTACCAGCAAAATTAATAAGATACAAATTAATGCAATCCAGGGACAGGTAAGACATTTAGATAAAAAATTACATGACTAGTAGACTTTAGTTATGAGGAAGGAGCTCTATGGATGTACAAAGTCTACACTCAGAACCTATTACCTAAAGTGGTACTGATATAAGTGATAAACATTCTGGATCTTGTCTGGAAACATACTAGTAACAGGATTCCTTGATTCTAGGAACGTCTCAGTGCACATAGGGTTGTCATACTGATGAAGGTATCATGAAACTAGAAATGTACCAAGATGCATAACCAAAATGGCCAAGGAAACAAAGGACTACTGACAACAGACCTGCTCCATTCCATCTCTACTTGGAAAGATATCATCTGAAAGAAGGTACAGAAGGAATCTGTATTAATATGTATTGATTTAAAATAATGTAGACAAATGATACAGCTCCAAGAATAAGTAGTCACCTGAACAAATGCTGTGGGACAGAGAAAGCTAAAGAAAAATTTCCAGTTAAATAAGGATAAGGGAGAGTTCACAACAACTGATCCACATTAAGGTTTTTGGGGAAAGTATGACTCTACGCAGTTCTGTACTAAACTTCAAACACTGGCATGAAAGTGAGCCAAGCCTTCCTTGTCCAGAGACCTAACAGTAGTTGGAGGAATGATAGGTATGACTCATTCTAACAGTTCTGCTGCTTAAACAAAGATCCCAGGAGAAACACATACCATTTAAGGTGTTTGCAGGACATGTTTGCAAAGAAGGTCCATATCTGCCCACTGGGATTCTGGCAAAAGAAAGGTTCTCGTAGGTACTGTTTTCACAGAAATTAGCTGTAAAGAAAACAAATTTCTCTCATTATAGATTAGATATTTCATTTTGAATTTTGAAACCAGATAAAAGGTGAAGTTCAGAACCTTTGCAGTGTAATTTAAAGAAGATTCATAGAGTCAACTGGCTGGTTCAGGAGTTTCTATACTTTCTCTCTGGTTAGATGTCTTCTATTATAATCACTATGCTAGGTAAGAGGTTTCAGCTGCAATGCACACCATACAGACTTGGGGTAGAGAGAAGGTGTGAACACTAACACACTAGCAAGAATTATGTATTAATTAGAATCTAGAGAATTGAAAAACTATAATCTATGCTGGCAAAGGACTTTATATGGATTTAGATCAAAGCCAAAAGGCCAAAATCATGGGTGGGTAGGATGCATTAGCTGGGAGGAATATAGACAGTTAATGATTAATGACAGTTAAGACTCATCCTGATTAAAAAAATTAATTATGTTAAAACTCTGACATTTGAAATAGGGTCAAATGGCATATAACCCCTGGAAAGGACCTGAAGAAACCATATTGCTAGTTGCCCTGGATTAAAGGCTGGAGCCAAAAGGAAAATTATACCCGTGAATTATAGAAAATAATTGACGTTTGGAAAATGGACAAAGTTATCTCAACCATATAGAGCCTAAGAGGAAAACATGGCTTTGATAGTTGAAAAGAAAAAGAAACTTCACATTTTTAGCATTTACAATATTTTTTCATATATTTATGTGCATGTGTTTGTTTTTGACAGTTTTATACAATTACATACCAAATTTTAGATATTTTCATCCCCACTTCCGTCTTGTATCCTCCATCCTCGAAAACCTTTTCCTCCAACAAGTCCCCCTCCTCCTATTTTCAAGCCTTTATGTTGTGTTTGATCCACTGAGTTTAATTAGAGTTTCTTGCACAGGAGTGTTGAGTAGGAGGTTATTTACTGGAGTAAGGACAAATTTACCAGCAGATACACCACTGAAGAAAATCATACATCCTTTCACAGCTGTTAACTCACATAGTCCCTCAGGCAGGGGGTAGGATCTCATTAGAGCCTCCACCATCCATGATGAAATGTGGACAGACCCATCTTGTGTGGGTCTTGTGACAGTAATCACAGCTATAGTGAGTTCATGAGTATACATCTTAGTGCTATTGTCCTTATGCTAATCGTGTTGATAGTCTTTAACTAAAGCTTCCAGAATTCTTGCTGCTGTTATTAACAAAAGGCTCACCTATATGCCATCGTAGTATCAGCCAAGTAACTTACCAATTGTACATCTCAACCCTTTCCACTCTTCAGTACAAATGCATCTGCCATTTTGCCAAGTTCCACCATTCCTGCAGAACTGTACAGGGGTGCTCGACACAGAAGCAGATACCCCTGAAAAAAACAGTAAACAACAGAATAGTATGGGAACTTCCCTATTAGTTTCTCTTTTCAGGTCTGTAGCCATCCAATTTCTATATGCAAAACTGTAACATGAATTGTAAAGGGTCTTATTAATAAAAAACATGGAGCCTTAGGGTTAAAGCCTTAGAGAGATCAGGGAAATACAGAAAGCCACAGCTAACCTTACCTCACCAACTTGACAGCTTCCAAATGCGAGCTACCTCTTGTCTTACCCACACCTTTATATGCCTTGCTTTTCTGCCCTCTCACTGGCTCTTAGCCCAGCTGCCTCACTTCTTTGTCACTGTCTGTCTGTACAGACCTCCAGGTCTCTATGTTGGTACTGGGATTAAAGGTGTATGTCACCACGCTTGGCTCTGTTCCCTAGTATGGCCTTGAACACACACAGAGACCCTGCCTGAAAGTGATTGGATTAAGGGCATGTGCTGCCTGACTTTGTTTACTTAAAATGGCTGGCCTTTCCCCCCTGATCTCCAGGCAAGCTTTATTTATCAAATCACAAATAAAATATCACATTTCAGCACAAATAAAATATCACCACATTTCCCCTTTGTCTAATAAAAATAAAAAAATTTTAAAAAGTTATAACTAATATAAGAAAAACTATATACAATAAGTACAATAACTATATACAATATATACAAGCAATAAATATATCAACAATGTCTAGTCCATTTGCATTTGACAAATTCAGAGGAAATATTCCACTATCTATTTTATTTTGGTGAGTCCAAAATGTATCTAGTTTACTTTCTATCCTAATTTATATCACCAACAGAAAACTATCTTATGATGTCTTTCAAACTTATACACTTAATACCTCTTAGTGAGTTTCTTTTTTGAATTTCTTAACAAGGAAAACTGTAACTATAACTAGTTAATCTTCAACTCCCTCAGAGACCCAAGAAGGAAATAATATTACCTAGTAAACCAGGAAGTGCAAAAAAGTGACTTCAAAAATTGAGCTATGACAGAAACAGTCAGCTGCCTGGACAATCACACAAAGTTTCTCTGCATGTAGAGGCATCATCTTCAGCCTACAGGCTTAGTGTATCTGATAGACTCATTTGTTAAGCAGGATGTACATAAGGCCTATAGCTTGACCTCACATTCAGTGTATTACATGTACCAGATAAACTTGAATTCCACCAGTTTCCTGTCATGATTCAGGATTTTAAATTCTGGAAATTGCTGTTGTTTTTGGAATTCAGCTTCCCGTTCTTCTCGGCTTGTGGGTGGCTTCATCTCCTTTATTAAATGTCAGTCTACCATTGAGAGGTAGACTCCATTAGCCTAGTTACTCTTTCAAGAATAACTGTTTCAGCTCCTGTTCCACTGCACACCAGAAGCCATTGGTCCACTGCCTGTTCAGCTGCCTTCGAAGAAAGGGGCACTGTACCTTTTCTGGATTACAAAGCCATTTCAGCAATGGTGCCATATTGTCCTGGCCTCAGAGGATGCCTGTTGCCAAAGCTGCAATCACACTTTTCTTAGCAAGGATTGGTAGTCCTTTGTTTTGTGTCCTGTTTGTCCATTTTGTATAGCATACTATCAGTAGTCCATGTGAAGGCACTTTGTTGCTCAGTGACTAATTTTTGCCACAATGAAAGGTAACTCCATATGCACTTTCTTCAATGCCCATATCTCTTCTGAAGCAGATTGAGGTGTTGTGGATGTCTTTCTGTATGCTGTGAATATGTGTTGCTCTGATTGGTTGATAAATAAAGTGCTGATTGGTCAGTAGCCAGGCAGGAAGTATAGGCAGGGCAAGCAGAGAGGAGAATTCTGGGAAGAGGAAGGCTGAGTGAGGAGACACCAGTCCACCATCTGGGGAGCAGCTTGTAATGGCACACAGGTAAAACCATGGAACATGTGGTGACATATAGACTGACAGAAATGGGCTGAGCTTAAGAAATATGAGCTAGCTAGCAAGAAGCCTGCAATGGCCATAGTTTAAAAATAATATAAGCCTGTGTGTGTTTATTTGGGTCTGAGTGGCTGCAGGACTGGTGTGGTGGTGTCATGGGAGCTGGGCAGGACCAGACAAAACTTACAGCTATACAAAACCAGATTGTCATTGCTGGAACTATCTTTTATTATATCCTCATCAATATGTGACATTATGGATACCAAAAAGATAGATTTAAAAACAGACCTAGACAGACCAAGTTAGCAGCATATAGATTTCCCAATACTATTTAAATACTATGCTAACTAATTTTGTATCAACTTGATACAAGCTAGCGTCATCTGACAAGAAGGAACCCCAATTAAGAAAATGCCTCCATAAGAGCCTGTAGGGCATTTTCTTTTTTTTTTTTTTGTTTTTTGTTTTTTGTTTTTTGTTTTTTGTTTTTTGTTTTTTGAGACAGGGTTTCTCTGTGTAGCTTTGCGCCTTTCCTGGATCTCACTCTGTAGACCAGGCTGGCCTCGAACTCACAGAGATCGGCCTGGCTCTGCCTCCCGAGTGCTGGGATTAAAGGCGTGCGCCATTTAGTAATTGATGGAGGAGGGCCCAGGCCATTGTGGGTGGTGCCATCCCTGGGCTGGTAGTCCTGAGTTCTATAAGAAAGAAGGTTGAGCAAGCCATGAGGAGCAAGCCAGTAAGCAGCACTCCTCCACAGCCTTTGTATCAGCTCCTGCCTCCGAGTTCCTGTCCTGCTTTTAAGTTCCTGCCCTCACTGCTTTGATGACGAACTGTTATATGGATCTGTGAGTGAAACAAACACTTTTCTCCCCAAGTTGCTTTTGTTCATGGTGTTTCATCACAGCTATAGAAAGCACCAAGGCAAATACAAAGGCAATAATGAGGAGAGAGATCACATCACCAAGAAAGACTTTGCTAAAGAGGCAGTATTTGAATTGGACTGTGTAATTAATTCAAGTAAACCCAGATAAAACTGGTGACTGATATTAGAAGCATAGAAAGAACAGCATCAAAGGGAATGGGGTGCTCACAGACACACAACCATGCAAGCATATGCCAAAACAAAGTGTAGCATCACAAAGCATGGACAGTTCCCATGTGTCCCAGCAACAGACTAGAACTTAACACAACAGCAACAGTCCTCTGAGGGGTATCAGCAGGACATAGAGTAGACCCTGAGGAACTTTATATTCTAAACTAAGGAGATTAAATCCTGAGGGAACACAGAGGGGTGTAGTAGAATATTATTTCAACGTGTGTTACTTTTGCTTATGTTGTATTTGTTTAACTCTGTGAGGCTGTATTATTGTGCTTGTCTAAAACACCTGATGGTCTAATAAAGAACTGGTCAATAGCAAGGCAGCAGAAAGGGTAGGTGGGGCTGGCAGATAGAGAGTATATATAAAATGAGAAAACTGGGAGGAGAGATCTAGGAATGAGGAAGGAAGAGGAAGGAGGAGGAATCTGGGAGCCAGCCACCCAGCCAGCCACTGAGTAAGAGTAAGATTTACAGAAGAGATGTAAAAAGCCCAGAGACAAAAGGTAGATGGGATAACTTAAGTTTAAAAAAGCTGGCTAGAAACTAAGTCAAGCTAAGGCCAGGCATTCATAATTAAGAATAAGCCTCTGAGTGTGATTTATTTGGGAGCTGAGTGGCAGGCCCCCCAAAAGAGAAGAAGAGCAGTAAAACAACCAACAACAGGGATCTTAAAACAAAGGAGATGTGCTATTAGGAATATTTTCTAGGATGATTGCTCCAGCAGTACGAGAAGTGACTGGAGCAGGCAGGCAGCAAAGTTGAAACAGGAGTCCAGCCCTCAGCCGATGGTCGGAATCAGTACATTCAGGAAGCACATCTGAAATTGGAAACCTTGAGAAAAACCTTATTTTCTGTTGGGGACACTAGTGTCTCTAAGCTTGTAGAGTAGATGGTGAGACATTAACAGTTCCAACAATGATGGAGTGGCTTGTATCATGTTGAGCTGCCCACAGATAACCACTTTAGTCTCAGCAAAATTTGCAAATACAATAACACCAGCAATAACAACAGAACCTTCTTGAGAGTACTGGAAAGCAAAGAAAAATGTTCAGAAATGAAAGGGAATTCTGTATCGTTTTTCCACTAAGGGCATAACCAAGTCTGTGTGACAAAAGTGGATGAAAACCCCAGCAAAGAGCCACAGTCTTAATAGATTAAGATATGAGATGACACTCACGGCTAAGTGGGGTATCCTAGAATAGAGAGAGACAAAGACTGCTCAACATCTGTATATAAATTTCCACTAAATATGGAGAAGGAAAACTTTTGAAAAAGAGAATTATAAGAACTTATGGATCTAACGTGTGTGTGTGTGTGTGTGTGTGTGTGTGTGTGTGTGTGTGTGTGTGTGTGCATGTGTATGTGTAATTGGAGGCACAAAGCAGGAAAATAAAAAAAAATCTTGAAACTTTCCAAATTTGGTTAAAGGTTTTTGTTTAGAGATCCAATCAACTCAGAAGATCACAGGCAAAATAAATATGCATATGACCAAACTGCAAAAATTCAAAAATTAAGAAAAATGCTGAAAGACATCTACTAACAGCTTACAGCTTTATTGATGAATTAGGAAGGTAAAAATATCAATCTTACATAAACTCTCTGAGAAAACAGAAAAGCAAAACTACCCAAGTCATTTCATAATGTGAAAATAACTCTGATGCCAGTTTATGACAAAGACATTACCAAAGAATTAAATTTCAGGCCAGTAAACTTCATTTATACATTTGTAAAACTCCTTGTCTTGGTTAGGGTTACTATTACTATAATGGAACAGCATGACCAAAAGCAGTTTAGGAAGGAAAAGATTTGTTTGGCTTCCACTTCCATATCATGGTTCATTATTGAAGGAAGTCAGGACAGGAACTCAAACAGGGCAGGAACCTAGAGGTAGGAGCTGATGTAGACGTCATGGAGGTGTGCTGCTTAGTGGCTTGCTCAGCCTGCTTTTTTATAAAACCCAGGACCACCAGTCAAGGGATGACACCACCCACAATGGGTTGGACT